AGTTTGGAACAGTGGTCTTTTTTTCCAGAGGAAACCAATCACATGATGCCAGTTCACAACGAGCCTGAACCCTCCACATCTGCTATGGCACCCCTGGGAGATGAAGCTGCTACCATCCAACAGAGACCAAAAAAGATAACTATGCATGAAAAGTTAGCCAGAGAATTTCATGAGCGTAAAATTGAATATTTAAAAGAAGAACATGAAATGAAAATGAGAATTCTAGAGGTTGAACTGGATATGAAATTGGGAGAGAGGGCTATGCTCCAAAAAAGAATTCTGCATACTAGTAGCCATGGTGAATATGAGGAATTGTGAAAAATAAAAATAAATGTATTGTCATTTGGCGTGTGAGTGAGTATTAATCATCACAAACTACATTTTACCCGACTTGGTTCACTAGTTTAATTTTGCTACATTATTGTAATTTTGTACAGAAACAGTATGCAAGCACCACCATACCATAATGGATACATTCCATATTTAAATGCTGAAGTGCTGCACTGTGAAAGCAGCTCTGTGTGCAAGTCCTCGCTGGTCATTGGCTGCCTCTGCCACCATGGGCACATCTGCATCATCCTGATCTTCCATTGGCAGGTCAGGACAGCCATGCTGCTTCAGGTAGTTGTGCAGCACAGCTGTAGCAATGATCACTTTGCAGCATCTTCTTGGCTTGAAACGAATCGTATTTCGTAAGCACTGGAATCGAGTTTTCCATACTCCAAACATACGCTCGATCATCCCTCTAGTACGGATATGAGCTCTGTTGTACCTTTGCTGCTCAGCTGTTGTGGGATTTAGATGTGGTGTGAATAAATAGTTACTCTGACCATATCCACTATCACCAAGTAGTAGTCCACTATGTTGTCCACTCTCAAATTGTGCACACAATGAAGAGTTGAGAAAAATCCTTGAATCATGGGTTGCACCTTTCCAACGGGCAACAATGTTTGAAAACTCCAAATTAGGAGTGCATACACCCTGAACATTGATTGAAAAACAGTTCTTACGATTCCTGTATTCCTCTGCATCAGGAGTTGATGGACACTTGATGGGAACATGACATCCGTCTATACAGCCAATCACTCCTGGAAAGTGCCCATATTCATAGAATTGCACTTTATAGTTGGCTTGCCCAGCAGCATCAGGGAACTTGATGTAAAGACTCCTCAGTTCACAAATGGCACTGCAGACTTTGTGAACTATTCTACATACAGTTGGTTCACTGACACCACACAAATCACCAGTTTCACGATGAAAGATTCCACATGCCAAGAACCTCAAAGTGATCAGAACTTGCAGTTGATTGGACACAGGCCTTCCTCTTTGAGACAGAGAGGAAAGTCTAGGCTCAAGCAAAGTAATTATCTCCAATGCATTTTCCTTGTGCATACGAAAGCGGTCTCGAAAAGTTATTTCATCAAACTGATTCAATGGATCACTCCTATCCAGCAGTATTCGTCTGGCTGGCCTTTGTCGTGCATGTTGGTCCTCATTTAGATATTCCAAATAGTCCATGCTCCCAAACAATCCAAGCTCAGTTTCACAAACAGTAGCCTAGCCTACTAAGCGGGAGTTAAACCTGCCTCCTTGGCAGATTAGTTTAAGCTTCAATTCAGTCCAATTTAGTCCTGGAGTAGCTCTAATGCTCAATTTTGCAATCGGCTTTGTTTAATCCAGAACAGGCTTAATCCACGAGTATTTTAAGCTACGTCTGTGCAAGTGAATTTCAGTTAAGCCAGCTCAAACAGCATTTTAGTCTGGGACTAGGCTTGAGCCTTGTCTCCGAAACCGGCCCAAAGAGTTTGAAAGAAAAGTCAAAATATGTTTTAATGAATGAGGTCATAATGAACTCAGGATATTTCCAGACTCAGTTCATTATGACTTCAGTAGGTGAAATGACAAAAAGGCTAGAAATATGAAGTCAAAAATAATTTGATTTTTTTTTAATATGTTAGGTTTAAAATGTTCAAAAATATAATGTTATATTGTAATATAATGTTTGAGTCAAAATATGTGCAACCAAAGATTTTGCGACCCCCCTGCAGTACCTTCGCGGACCCCTTGGGGGTCGCGGACCCCCTGTTGAAGACCTCTGTTTTAAGTGGGAAAAAAAGTCCAAACATGTTTTAGAAAAAAAGTTTAAAAAAATACTTTGGAAAATAATTTCTAAGATATTTAGTAAGCGAAGTCAGATATAACATGTCTCATAGTCTTCTGTAGTCTTTTTTACTTCAGTACAAGTTTTGAATCGTCCTTCCACTACTTCCTCATTCTTTGTCAACAGGGACTGAACCATGGCCCCTCCCACAATCTACGGCCCCTCCCACATCCACGGCTCCTCCCACATTCACTGAAACACGAGGAGACGCAACCCGGCTCTCCTTCACGTCTCATAGAGGCCGATCTGCAACCTGCGTGCTTCTGTGTGGGCGTGTGTGTCTGTGTGTGGGTGTGTGTTTGTGTGTCTGTGTGTGTCTGTGTGTCTGTGTGTGTTTGTGTGTCTGTGTGTGTCTGTGTGTCTGTGTGTGTGTGTGTGTTTGTGTGTCTGTGTGTGTCTGTGTGTGTGTGTTTGTGGGTGTGTGTGTGTGTGTGTCTGTGTGTCTGTGTGTGTGTGTGTGTGTGTGTGTCTGTGTGTGTGTGTGTGTGTCTGTGTGTGTGTGGGTGTGTGTGTGTCTGTGTGTGTGTGTGGGTGTGTGTGTGTGTGTGTGTGTGAGTGTGTGTCTGTGTGTGTCTGTGTGTGTGTGGGTGTGTGTGTGTCTGTGTGTGTTTGTGTGTGTGAGTGTGTGTCTGTGTGTGTGTTGGGTGTGTGTGTGTCTGTGTGTGTGTGTGTCTGTGTGTGTGTGTGTGTGTGTCTGTGTGTGTCTGTGTGTGTGTGTGGGTGTGTGTGTGTCTGTGTGTGTGTGTGGGTGTGTGTGTGTCTGTGTGTGTCTGTGTGTGTGTGTCTGTGTGTGTCTGTGTGTGTGTGTGTGTGTGTGTGTGTGGGTGTGTGTGTGTCTGTGTGTGTGTGTCTGTGTGTGTGTCTGTGTGTGTGTGTGTGTGTGTGTGTGTGTCTGTGTGTGTCTGTGTGTGTGTGTGGGTGTGTGTGTGTCTGTGTGTGGGTGTGTGTGTGTCTGTGTGTGTGTGTGTGTGTCTGTGTCTGTGTGTGGGAGTGTCAGAAGTATGCAGCAGCTTTCACTGCATGAATTATACCGTTCATCTGTTTCCCTCATTAGAAGACGTTGACTTGTTTCTCATGTTTAAACTGGGAGGTTAAAGAGGAGGAGAGGTTAAGGGTCAATGTGTTACACATGATTAGTGCCTCTGTTTGTCCTTTCAGACTAAAGGATGAACTCATTACAATTTTGAAACTAGAGACTGAGACATAAACTCATGTTTACAATGTTTACTGAGGGAATAGAGGGAAGAGAGAAGTAGAGTCATTTCCTCATAGACGTCTATGGGAGCAGAGGAGTCGCCCCCTGCTGGTCACTACAGAGAAGTAGAGTCATTTCCTCATAGACGTCTATGGGAGCAGAGGAGTCGCCCCCTGCTGGTCACTACAGAGAAGTAGAGTCATTTCCTCATAGACGTCTATGGGAGCAGAGGAGTCGCCCCCTGCTGGTCACTACAGAGAAGTAGAGTCATTTCCTCATAGACGTCTATGGGAGCAGAGGAGTCGCCCCCTGCTGGTCACTACAGAGAAGTAGAGTCATTTCCTCATAGACGTCTATGGGAGCAGAGGAGTCGCCCCCTGCTGGTCACTACAGAGAAGTAGAGTCATTTCCTCATAGACGTCTATGGGAGCAGAGGAGTCGCCCCCTGCTGGTCACTACAGAGAAGTAGAGTCATTTCCTCATAGACGTCTATGGGAGCAGAGGAGTCGCCCCCTGCTGGTCACTACAGAGAAGTAGAGTCATTTCCTCATAGACGTCTATGGGAGCAGAGGAGTCGCCCCCTGCTGGTCACTACAGAGAAGTAGAGTCATTTCCTCATAGACGTCTATGGGAGCAGAGGAGTCGCCCCCTGCTGGTCACTACAGAGAAGTAGAGTCATTTCCTCATAGACGTCTATGGGAGCAGAGGAGTCGCCCCCTGCTGGTCACTACAGAGAAGTAGAGTCATTTCCTCATAGACGTCTATGGGAGCAGAGGAGTCGCCCCCTGCTGGTCACTACAGAGAAGTAGAGTCATTTCCTCATAGACGTCTATGGGAGCAGAGGAGTCGCCCCCTGCTGGTCACTACAGAGAAGTAGAGTCATTTCCTCATAGACGTCTATGGGAGCAGAGGAAGTTAGTGATGTTCATTAAGGAATTGCAGGTAAAGGGATGCTATGATCTGAGTAAATTAATATGTGAATTCTCCACTGAAGAAAACTGGTGAGAAAAAAAGGAAAAAAGATAAGATAAATCTGCATGTACTTCAAATAAACTTAATTACCTCCCAGAACAATGACATCACTTCTCATGCTCCGCATCCAGAAAGGCTGCATTCCACAGCGTCACTCCACCTCCTCCTCCACCTCCTCCTCCACCAGCCTGAACTCACAACAGTGAGAAAGGACCTTCAGTGGAACAGAGAGCAGCTTCAACAGGTGAGCGATATAAACTTATGTATGAAGTTACTTCTAGAAGAGAAAATCAGAAACGGAAAAAAATCCATTCATGAATTTGATGACTTTGTGTTTATTAATATCGGCCGCTGAATGGAGGCGATCACAGCTCCTTCTCTTCATTGTGTGAATGCTGCTACAGATTCAGAACCAGGGAAACAAACCAAACAGGTTGCAGATGAACTTTTATTAATCGTCTCATTCTAGAAGTCAAAGCTGCTGACGTAGTTCAGTCGATGTTTGTTTGCTGCTGAAGTTTGACTCATTTAGCGTCAAGAAAAGAGCAGAATGACAGTTTAATGTTCCAATTTTTGTAAAGGCTTTAACATACGTGTAATAAGGACCTCTGTGACGAGGTAAAATCCGCATACATTTTCAAACAATGCGAGAAAATACTCCATTTGTCAAGTAAAACGTGGCTTTCCTCTGATGGCGATACTGGCGAGCTGGTAAACAGAGAGAGGAGGTATTTGTGGGCGGAGCCTGAGCCTCAGGAATGTCAGCGTGTTCTGCCACATTCCCGCTCGCGTGACTTCTCCCGCAAACACGGGAAGCTGCACTTAAGAGTCCTCCGGCGAAGACCCGCCTTCTTAACCTCTGACCCCTGTGACCCTGGTGGTCGGTCAGGCGAAGGTCTGGAGCCCTTCGTACGACCCGTATCGTCTCACTGTCGTCTGCTCGACTGCTTCCAGCTGTTGATCCTTTTAGAACAAATCTCACACAAACGATTGAGATTGTGTCGTATCACTGGGGTGTTTTTGTGCTGCATGCTGGGAAGTATGCTGAGGAGCTGCTAGCGTGGTTAATGATGACAGTTGTGTACATAGAAACTGCTCACGTGTGTGAGTAGTGCACGTGTGTGCACAGCGTGTGATGCAAACAGACACTCACATAATGTCACACGGGAGAAACCCACCAGTACCAATGTAACAGTGTTACTGTTGTTGTTGTTGTTGTGTATACGAAGGCGTTATAACTCATTGTGTTTAAAGCACATCACAGAACTTCAACTCATTTAACTTGGACCTTATGTGGACGAGACACCAATGCAAACAATCAATGTGTTTATATCGAGTCTGTCACATGAGATTCATCGTGCTCCTCGTGTCTCCTTCGCACAACTGAACAGGTTTTTAAATGAGTTTCATAATTGAGGCAGAAGTTAAAAAACATTTGACCTTAATTTAGGGTCAATGAATAAATCATCGTTGACATGAACAGAAATCTTAAATTCACAACTTAACTTTGTTAACTAATGTGTTTTGTATCTATACTTTAAGACGTTATATCACGCTTAAGAAAATAAACATACAATAAATAATAAATGAATAAATATACAGCTTTTCTGTCTGATTTGTCTTTGATTTTTGCTTGTTGGGTTTCATTTGTGGCATTTCAAAATGAACACATTCCTTTCCAGAATCAGCAAATACGAACTTTATAACCAACTCGGCACAATCTTCACAGGAATATTTCATACTGTGTGTGTTTTTATGAAAGCGTTGACTCCTTGTGGACCTTTTCCCCTGGTCACCCGTCCCAAACCGAGTAGTGTGTCCAAACCCCGTCCCTTGTTAATTAGCTTCCTACAGAGACGTCACTCACCAACCGAGAGGCAACAAAAGTCATCATTTGTCAAACGATAGAACACATTTGGCAAATCAATAAACGGCCTTTATGATTCATATTTTCAGGTCGCTGGTGGTGCTGCAGCTGAGTGATGGAGCTGAAGGTGTGGGTGGAGGGCGTGGTCAGGGTGGTGTGCGGCCTATCACTGACCACTTCCTGCCAGGATGTCGTCATCGCTCTCGCAAAGTCGCTTGGTGAGTCTCTTCGTTTTCACCCAAGTTCATTGTCAAACCCTCAGGCAGCTGATTACCAATACAACATCTGCATTTATGTTTACACTCTCTGCACTGCAGCGTCCATACGTTGATAATAATAATGATAATAATACATTATTTATATGGCGCTTTTCAAAATACTCAGACGCTTTACATGGTTAAAATAAGCGTAAAACATCATATGCGATATTTGGCACGTCATAAATGTCATAAACACAAAGCTGATACAGATGTTGGCTGGATGTCTTATTGGTTCTGGACTCCGTCAGGCAACACAAGGTAGTCACACCCAGCCGGTTCCGTCTCCTCAGGTCGGACCGGTCGGTACCTTCTCATCGTGAAGCTGCGAGGGGCGGAGAGGCAGCTGGTGGCCGAGGACTGTCCTCTTCAGCACCTGTCTCAGCTGGGTCAGCTGGCTCCGGAGTTCCACTTCGTCCTGCGGAGGACCGGTCCCAGCCGGGGGGATGGGGCGAGGCACACCCGACAGGGAGCGACGGTTGTCCTCGCCCGGCCCCCGGGACCCGGAGCCTCTGAGCTCCGGTCCGTGTCCCCCGGCCCACCTCAAGAGGACCTGGACCCCGTCGCCCAGAGCTTCTCCAGAACCCCGGGCTTCCCCCGTCTCGTTCCCGGACCCTCACAGCTCCACCAAGGAGGAGGTGTTCAGGCAGGTCCTGCAGCAGCAGAGGAGGCTGCAGGAGCTGGAGAACCAGGTCAGGTCTCTGGAGAAGGAGGCCGAGGTGTGGGAGCAGGAGGGCTCATCTGCCAGAGATGCCGGTCCGACTGTGGTCAGGGAAGCAGAACTGGAGGACCTGGAGCGGCGCCTGAGGCAGAACGAGGCCGATCTGATGCTTGGACTTCGGTGGGAGGAGAAGTTCCAGGCGGAGGTGGACCGAGAAGAAGGTAGGTGTTCACGTCCTTCCTCTGGAAATTTTCCTCAACAACTGCTAACCGCTGCTCCTCAACAGATCTGCAGAGAGGTCTGCAGCGGCTGCACGCCTTGATGGAGGACCACCCCCACCAATTGGAGGAGCTCCAAGCCCACTCCGTTCAGCTGGAGCAGGAGGTGCAGCTCGAAGGCCACAGGCTCAGCTCGCGGGCAGACTCGAGGCCGCCGGAGGAGGCGCTGAGGCCTCTAAAGCAGGAGCTCCGTTACCGGTGGCAGCAGGGAGAAGATCTGGAGGCGGCGTTTTCCGGGACGCAGAGGGATCTCCAGGCGGCGGAGCAGAAGCTGCAGGTACAACTAAGATAATCATCTAATCTCAGACGGGGAGAATCAGTGCACCAGGAATCCACAGAGAGCTTGTTTGTGAGATGGAGTCAAATAAACTACATAAAGTGATGAAGGAACAACACAGACAACAACACTGAAGACATTTTAAAATCACGCTTCTTTTGTTTTAAACTTGCCTGTTTGCACTGTTGTTGCTAATAGACTGTGTGTTTGCTCCATGCGTCCTGCAGGGCCGGAGGGAGATGATCGAGGAGCTGAACAAGGAGCTGAGGCAGTGTAAGCTGCAGCAGTTCATCCTGCAGACCGGGGCCCCCCCCCCCCGAGACCCTCGCCGACCTCTGCCTCAGCAGTGCTGGCATCATGGAGCCGCAGAGGGACTGGACGTGATGAAGTCCAGTACTGCCGAGTTAAAGTAACACCAACCAGGAAGAAGAAGAGTTCAAAGTATTTATTTCATCTTCTTCATCAGATGAAGATGTAACAGAAGGAAAGAAGGAAAAATCCTCAGAGGAGCTGAAATAGACAGAATTAGATTTATTTATTGAACTTATACGGATGTCAAAAACACGACATCATGAAGTAAAGCATGAAGGACTGTGTGTGTGTGTGTGTGTGTGCGTTTGTGTTTGTGTGTGAGTGTGTGTGTGTGTCTCTGACAAGCCAGTATTGTAGATTGTCAATAAAATTAATTAATATACATTTTTCTGCCCCTGATTTAGATTGCACCTTTTGAATTTAATTTTTACTCTTTAATATTTTCTACTTGAATTAATCACATAAAGTATTTTAAATAAAATACCTTTCCCATATTTTTATTTGTTGTTTCAATTCAATTTAAAATGTCATGCAGCGGTTTGTCTGCTTTTTCTCCACTGGGGGGCGCCATGGCTTGGTCCATGGTGACGTCCTACATTTAGGGCCACGTCCCTCAAAGCAGCATTTTGTGTTTATGGGCATTAGTGATGTCCACACTGTGTCCTCCATAAAGCATCTTATTCCTCCTTCCCACCTCCCAATGATCATCTCCACTTCACACTGACGTATGCAGGTGGCATGAAGTGTGAGCAGGAGCGCCTGCGCAGACATATACACACACACACACACACACACACAAGAAAATACACACCCAGGTGTCGGCGTAGCATTAATTTACCATTTCTGTATCCACAAACCTACTTCACTTACTAACACTGCAAGCAAGAACAGACCTACTAGTCACAACACTCAGGAAAAGGCAACATAGAGATGTGATTGAAAACTACCACACTTTATTCTAACTTCAAAACAACCTTCCAAGGGATGACATACTATACATACAAAAAAGACAATGCACTTTCTGTATAAAGTGTCCACACAGTTAAAATAAATAAGACTCTTTGGGCAAAATATTTACTTGACAAAACTGTGCAAAACTTTACATGTGCAACAATGTAAATGGTTGGAGGTACAGACCGTGTAGAATATTGTAGAGACAGCGGACCTGACCAGAGCTTATGTGTGCATAAAAAAAAGCTTACATCACTGGTAACACATCTTGTTTCAACACTGATCTGTTACAGTAATAATGCTACAAAATAACCTGTGACTCCAAAAGCCAACATGAGAAAACAATGCACGTTAAAAAACAGTCAATCTCCGCCTATAAAGTGAAACATATTTAAAATACATACGTCTCATTGAACAAATTATTTATCCTTTATATTCTGACTTCTTTTCATACTGTAATAGTCCCATAATGCACGACATTCTTATATGTTGTAGAATAGATAATTGTAATTGTAATGTAATTGATGTTACACGGGTCTAACATAACAATGTTACGCAGTGCAGAATAGCTAAATGTTAGCTTTAGCATCGTTGACAGTCAACACAGTGTTTGCTAATGAGATGAGATGATGACAGCCTTGTGCCAATTACAATAAAAAGAAATAAAACAAGACCGGGTAAATGTTTAGCGTATTACCGTTACAGCTTTTAACTACAGGCACAGTGAGTGTAGTAAAATGTAGGCAACTCACATCGTTCACGACGTGTTGCTTCCATAGACTGAGCTTGTTCGCCTGTAGGTTTGCCGCTCAAACTTCTTCTTCTTCTGTTGTTTTGCAGGCTACATGCTACTGTAGCGCATCGCTGCCTCTCAGGTTTGAGAAGGAACTGCAACTCTAAACAAGAGTGCGGTTTACGTTCAGCGCCGTGGCCCGCCTCTGACTGGGCGCATAGCCAATCATATTTTAAGATATTGGGGTGGCCAATCAGATTTCAGGGGTGGCCCGTGCCGCCCTAGGCCACGCCCTGAACACGCCAGTGAGCAGCAGCAACTTTTTATAAATACCAATTATTGCGTAGAGAGCGGCACGTTTATGAATGAGGCCCCTGACTCTCTAGGTCGTCTTCAACAAAACACGTGACTCCACCTGTTGTTCTGGAGGTGAATCGCGCACACGCACACGCAGACGCGCACGCACACGCAGACGCCAGCCTTAAATCCTGCACGTAATCCAGCGTCAGAGAGCATTATGGGTAAACCTGCTCAGCTCAGTGGAGACGTGTCTGTTGTTTTTGGTGTTAGTGTGTAGATGAGAATTCTCTAATGTACCTGGTTGTTAAAAGATGATAACTTCCCTTTAAAAAGTCACATTGTTAACATTTTAATCACATCATAAGAGCACATTAATTCTTTTTATTTAAAAAAAAAGAATTACACTTAAATATGGGAAGAATTATGCTTAAAGATGACGGCATAACTGAAACACTTTAACCTTTAATTTGCACAGACAACGATATCAGATATAATCTCTGAGTCGTGTTAATCTTACAGCTCTTCATTCCGTACGCGCATTGGTACATTTTTAATCACAAACCTGTTTATCCTGTTTTAACCGGTTGTCACTCGCAATAAAAATGTTTGATATCATTTTAAAGATATGTGCTTCACATAGTTGGGATCTTTTGAAAATGCAAAAGTGACTTATTTTGAGTCTGGTTTGGAAACGTATAAATGCAAATCGACTGCTTCTCGTCCCGTTGGTAGAATGTTACGTTGTGTTCTCACAAACCTTTCAAAGATTAAACACATACAAAATAATAAACAAGTGTTGCTTAGTGTCCTAAATGTGGTGGAGAATTAATATTATATTGACAGCTTGACATCGTTGGGACATCTCACACAGTCAGGTTCATGTTCTGTGATCTAAGATCTAATGATCCTCTGACCTTCTGAGTGACGGATTATTACCGGAATTCCTTCTTTGTCTCAGCAGGCCGGCCTTCACCTTAATTATTGTACATCTGATCACTGGTTAGATGTGCATTGCTGCCCACACTTTTCATTTGACCTGTTTTTTAAGTGAGCAGGGAAATCCCTTAACTATATTTTGGACACCATCATTTTACAAGAGAAAAAAACTACTTTTCTTCTGGATCTTAAAACTGTAAATGTATAAAAAAAGAACCCTTTAAGGAGCCTGAGATGATCTGTGACTTTGTTTGACCTCCATTAACCACGTAAGTACATATTTCTACTCTGATATGAATTAAAATGAGATGAACGCATAAGATGATGCAGCACCAGGTGAAGGCTCCAAGGCCGCTCCCCCCCCGCTACATGTGCTCTGATATTAGCATAGCATTAATGAGCGCCGTTGGTTTCTGTGCTGTTGGGTTTCTAAATAAGGATCAATTTGCTGTTTAGTCTGGAAGCATATTTAGATTTTTAGTCTGGACCACGGACATGAAACATGGTCAACGTTGCTAAGCAGCCATTTTTATTTTCCCTTGTTACAGTTACAGTAGATTTGTTATGGATTGTCCCTGACCCCAAGCGCACGACACCAGACACAGCTTAGGTTTAGCCGGAAACGGCGTAGTTTATTTCACAAAATAACCAAATACGAGAAACAAACCAAAAACAAGAACTGCCTCCTTAATTGGCATGGGGGAAAAAAAAGCAAAAAGGCAACTCCAAAAACTCCTCTAGTCCGTGGGCGCTCTTAGTCCAATCAAAAAATGAAAACTCACACGATACTCACAGGGAAAACAAAAACTCTGCGTAGGGAATTCCGGAAGGGTTTCCAAGAGGAGCACAGGGGAAGAACAATCAACCCTCTCTGGGGAAACACAGAGCACGAACTCACAGCGAGCCACTGGCAGATCTGCTTCTTAACCTCCCTGTGGGATGAGCTGACGAGCTGCAGCTGTGGCGATGAGCAGAGCGGCGTCAGGTGTGCGACTCTCTGGCTGGTCGAGCCCTAACACTACCCCCCCCTCCAAGGGAGCCACCCGGCGACTTGCCAGGCTTCTCGGGATGGGCTCGATAAAAGGCGGTCAGAAGCCCCGGGTCCATGATGAGCCGGCGAGATACCCAGCTACGGTCCTCCGGGCCATAGCCCTTCCAGTCCACCAGGAACTGGTACCCTCGCCCCCGACGCCGAACGTCCAACAGTCGGCGAACCCTCCACTGAGGGTGCCCATCCACGATTGTGGGTGGAGGTGGGTCCGGGGCAGGAGGCATCAGAGGACTGCAGGCGACGGGCTTAATCCTAGATACGTGGAACACAGGATGGATCCGCATAGAAGCCGGTAGTCTCAGCTTCACTGCGGCAGGACTGAGCACCTTCGTGACCTCAAAGGGGCCCACGAAACGGGGGTCCAGCTTCTTGGCGGTTGACTGCAGGGGAAGATCCTTGGCGGACAGCCAAACTCTCTGCCCGGGGTGGTATGTTGGCGCTGGGTTCCGGCGACGGTTGGACCCCCGGCTACTACGTTCAGCCGCTTGGAGTAGAGCGGCTCTGGCGACTCCCCAGATGCGACGACATCTGTCCAGATGAGTCTGTACCGACGGAACTGCCACCTCAGGTTGTTGTGCCGAAAACAGCGGTGGCTGGTACCCCAGCGACACCTCGAAAGGGGAGAGACCTGTGGCAGAGCTGACAAGGGAGTTAATCGAGTACTCAACCCATGGGAGGAACCAACTCCAGGAGGACGGGTTCCTGGCAGCCACACAGCGGAGTGCCGTCTCCACACACTGGTTCATCCTCTCCGTCTGCCCGTTAGTCTGTGGGTGATAACCAGAAGAGAGACTGACAGAGGCGCCCAACCCCTTGAAGAATGCCCGCCATACCTGGGATATGAACTGAGGTCCTCTGTCCGAGAGCACATCCTGGGGGAGGCCGTGGAGCCGGAACACATGGCTCATCAGGAGGTCCGCCGTCTCTGACGCCGAAGGGAGTTTGGGGAGGGCCACCAGGTGCACCCCCTTACTGAACCGATCTACTATTGTTAATATCACCGTCCTACCCTGGGAGGCCGGTAATCCAGACACAAAGTCCAAGGCCACGTGGGACCAGGGACGGCTAGGAACAGGGAGGGGTTGCAGCAGCCCGGCAGGTGCCCGGTGAGAGGCCTTGCTGCGGGCACAAACGGGGCAGGCCAACACAAAGTCCCTCACCTCGTTCCTCATTGTGGGCCATCAGAAACGTCGAGCTAGGAAGGTGAAGGTGCGGTGGACCCCGGGATGACAGGCAAACTGGCTGGCGTGGCCCCACTGAAGTACCCGGGGCCTGACAGATTCCGGGACGAAAAGCCTACGTGGGGGTACGCCACTCGGTGCAGGGTGGGAGCGCAGCGCCCGCCTCACGACAGTCTCGATGCCCCAGGCCACCATGCCGATCACCCGGGTCTCGGGGACGATGGGTGCCGACTCCTCGGTGGCCAGTCCCCCCCCCTGATGTAGTCGGGACAGGGCATCCGCTTTGATGTTGCGGGAACCGGGACGATAGGTCAGGGAGAAATTGAACCGACTGAGGAAACCGGCCCAACGAGCCTGTCGCCCATTGAGACGCCTGGCCGCCCGGATGAATGTCAGGTTCTTGTGGTCTGTCCAAATGGTAAATGGCTGCTCTGCCCCCTCCAGCCAATGGCGCCACTCCCCCAGAGCAGCTACTACTGCCAGCAACTCCCGATTACCGATGTCGTAGTTCATCTCCGCGGGAAGAAAACGCCGGGAGAAGAACGCGCAGGGGTGCACCTTCTGATCTCCCACCGCCCGTTGGGAAAGGACTGCCCCCAGCCCGGTGTCCGAGGCGTCCACCTCAACAATGAACTGTCGCTTTGGGTCGGGATGGAGCAGCACTGGGGCGCTAGTGAACCTCCTCTTGAGTGACCGAAAAGCGGCGTCGGCGGCCGGGGACCAGATGAACGGCTGGGAAGAGGAGGTCAGCCTGGTGAGGGGTTCTGCCACGACGCTGTAGTTCCGTATGAACCTTCTGTAGAAGTTAGCAAATCCCAGAAAGCTCTGCAACTTCTTTCGCGACGTAGGGCTCGGCCAGTCTACCACCGCCTGGATCTTGCGGGGGTCGGCCCGCGTCTGCCCTCTCTCCACAATGAAACCCAAGTAGTCGACAGAGGCGGAGTGGAAACGGCACTTCTCAGCCTTGACAAAGAGTCTGTTCTGGAGGAGACGCTTGAGCACCCGACGAACGTGCTGGACATGCTCCTCGAGAGTCCTGGAGAACACCAGGATGTCATCGAGGTACACAACCACGAACTCATCCAGCATGTCGCGGAGCACGTCGTTCATGAGCGCCTGAAAAACCCCCGGGGCGTTGGTAAGGCTGAATGGCATTACGCGGTATTCGTAATGACCTCGGGGTGTCTTGAAGGCGGTCTTCCACTCGTCCCCCTCTCTGATCCGGACCAGGTGGTAGGCGCTCCGGAGATCCAGCTTGGAAAAGATGGCAGCCTGGGTCAGGGGCTCGAGGGTGGAGCTCATGAGGGGGAGGGGGTACCGGTTCTTGACCGTAATGTCATTTAGTTGGCGATAGTCAATGCAGGGTCGGAGACCCCCATCCCTCTTCTTCACAAAGAAGAACCCCGCTGCCACCGGTGAGGATGAAGGCCGAATGAGCCCTGCTGCCACTGACTCCGAGATGTACTCATCCATGGCGGCCTTCTCAGGAATGGACAGGCTGTACAACCGACTGCTGGGAAGGGGGGCCCCTGGGCGGAGGTCGATTGCACAGTCGTATGGCCTATGTGGAGGGAGAGACTGAGCCCGAGACTTGCTAAAAACCTCTCCCAGATCATGATATTCCCGAGGGACAGCGGAAAGGTCCGGGGAGGGGGCACGGGGAGTCGGGCGGGGTGACGGACTTGGAGCTGCCTGGAGGCACTGGGCGTGACAGGAGGCGCTCCACTCCAGAATAGTCCCAGAGGACCAGGCAATGTGTGGCTCGTGCTGCACGAACCAGGGGTACCCGAGAATCACTGGGGCCAACGGGGACTGGATGAGGTAGAATTGGCGGGTCTCTACATGGTTACCCGCCACAGTGAGGGAGACTGGGTGGGAGCATTGGGTGATGCGGGCTAGAGGACGGTCGTCCAGTGCAAAGGCCTCTAAAGGCTTCTCCAGTGTCCTCAGTGGAATGTTAGCCTGGACAGCGAAACCCAAATCCAGGAAACAGTCATCCGCCCCTGAATCGAGGAGGGCCCTACCGTAATCCGTTGATCTGCCCAAGCCAGGGTGACGCTAACCCGCCGGTTAGTGATGCAGGACTACGGGACCACGAAAGGCGGCTCACTAGGATCTCCCGGGGTCCTGGTGAGCCTAATCTTTTGGCCGTGTGGGACAGCCGCTGATGCGATGCCCCTCCTGGCCACAGTAGAGACACAGCCCTCCCCTGAATCGTGCCTCCCGTTCGGCTGGGCTGATGCGCGTGCGTCCCAGCTGCATGGGCTCCTCCTCGGTTGCGGTCTGTGACGTGGAAGGCCGGACGGGACTGGGGGAAGTCGAATGGGCGACCCGGTTCCTCTCCCGTGTGCTGAAGATGTGGGGGATAGGGAGGGGTCCCCGGGGAACTCGCTCCCGCCTTCTCTCCTTAAGGCGTCCATCGATGCGGATGGCGAGACTGACGAGGTCGTCGAGGGAGGCGGGCTCCTCCCGTGTAGCTAGCAGGTCCTTCACTGCCTCGCAGAGTCCCCTTCGGAAGGCAACCCGAAGGGCTGGGTCGTTCCACCCGCTTTCTGCAGCGGCCAGTCTAAAATCCACTGAGTAGTCCGCCACCGAGCCGCTGCCTTGTTGGATGCTGGCCAACCGGGCGCCGGGGTCCTTACCCCTTACTGGATGGTGGAACATCTTGCGGAGCTCGGCCACGAACTCCCTGTAGGAGTGACGGAAACTGGCACCCATGGACCAGGAAGCGGCAGCCCACTGGGCGGCCCGGCCGGTAAGCAGGTTCGTCACATATGCGACTCGGGCAGCGTCGGAGGTGTAGCGGCTGGGTTGGTGAGTAAACACCAACTCACACTGCATTATGAAGGTGGCACAAGTCTCGAAGTCACCCCCGAACGGGTGTGGGCTGGAAAGGCAGGGTTCCCAGGGTAACGAGGCAGGTTCCGCAGGGCTACTTGGGAGGGGATCCCCCGGGGGCGGGATCACTGCCCTCACAGGCGGAGGCTGGTTCGGCGGCTGGGTGGTGAGAGCCGCCGTCAATGCCCGTAGCTGTATTAGAATCTCGGCTTGCTGGGCCGCCGACGCCACCTGATGCTGAGTCAGGCTCTCCACCGAAGCTTGAAGGGGCTGGACCTGGACCTGGAGGTTCTGCACGGCAATGGCGGCCGCCTCCAGCTGGTGAGTATGATTGTCCGTCAGCTGAAGCTGTCTATCCAGGACAGCTTCTAAACTGCCACGGTCTGTGTCGGCTGGGGTCATCATGGTGAGTTCGTACTGTTATGGATTGTCCCTGACCCCACGCGCACGACACCAGACACAGCTTAGGTCTAGCAGGAAGCGGCGTAGTTTATTTCACATAATAACCAAATACGAGAAACAAACCAAAAACAAGAACTGCCTCCTTAATTGGCATGGGGGAAAAAAAAGCAAAAAGGCAACTCCAAAAACTCCTCTAGTCCGTGGGCGCTCTTAGTCCAATCAAAAAATGAAAACTCACACGATACTCACAGGGAAAACAAAAACTCTGCGTAGGGAATTCCGGAAGGGTTTCCAAGAGGAGCACAGGGGAAGAACAATCAACCCTCTCTGGGGAAACACAGAGCACGAACTCACAGCGAGCCACTGGCAGATCTGCTTCTTAACCTCCCTGTGGGATGAGCTGACGAGCTGCAGCTGTGGCGATGAGCAGAGCGGCGTCAGGTGTGCGACTCTCTGGCTGGTCGAGCCCTAACAAGATTTACATTAAAGTGAGGTGTAACTAGCATGCTAGCTAGCCAACTAGGATGCTGATAATGAAGAACTATCGACAAATGTGATTCTCCCGACACTATTGACACTGCTTTGAATCATTGCCACAAACAGCGTGTATACAGTATAGCATCAAACGTGCACGCTAGCTAATTAACTAGCTAGCATAATGATCCACCATGATTTAATTGTTACGCTATGTGGTGACGACCTAGAGGCAGACAGACCAGGAAGCGGAATCAGAACCAGAACCATTTATTTGCCAAATATATTAGAAATACAAGGAATTTGTCATGGCGGGTGTTGCATATATTGGAACATAAGACGAATTCGCACAAGAGAGAAATATGGATATCAAATACTCTTTTCTATTTACGATTAAATGTTCACTCACATTTACAGAAGAATAGAGAATAATATCAGATCTAAACTCAAAATAAAGTGCACAGGCCTTTGGGAACAGGGATGATGTGGAGGCCTTGAAGCAGGCTGGTACGTGTCTCCAGTGAAGGAAAGAATCAAATCGACTGGAAGACTTTGGATCCTGGAGAGCTGAAATACTTTGTGAATGTGATCAGAATTCTCATTTGATAAAAGTTCTTGATGAACCTTAAAGATCCTGTTTATCATCTCGTTAACACCACGAGGCTCTCACACCGACTCCACATTGAGACAATGATCTCATCGCATGAAGAAATAACGTCACTGCTAAAAATATACAGCTTCTTACGTTACAGGAATATTTACTATTTATTGCAAAATCAATATATTGTATCAATATCAGTATATGGATGTATATTTTTACTTAAATCTCCAATGAGATGCTAAAGAAGGAAGAAAAGCTGGTGATATATTTATTTTGTTAATCTGAAGTCAGGTGACTTCAGACTAACCAATCCGTGCCTTGGTCCTACATGAACACGCCCCCTCAAGATGCTAAACATTCTAGTTGGAGATGTTGTTGTCAGACATGTAGACCTACACACCTCTGTGACTGGAGATCAAGTGATTACCGAGCTGGTCGGATTAGCAGCTGATCAGAGGTCAGCTGGAGGCGACCTGTGACCACTTTGACCCAGACTGTCGCATCGCTGCCATCCACTCAGTTCCATCACAGCCAGCGGGAGGCCATGGGCCAGGAGGAGAGCCACAGCGGGGAGATGAACCTGGCTCAGATCCAGGAGCTGTGCCTGGTCTTCATGAAGGAGTGTCCCAGCGGCGCGCTGCACCTGCACGAGTTCAAGAGGATCTTCGGGGTGGTGAGCAGCTCGGCGGAGGAGTCGCTCTACATCGAGACGGTGTTCCACTCCTTTGACACCAACAAGGTCAGAAAGGTTTGAGAGAACTTTCTCCCCATGGAACCGCATGGGGGGCTCTGCGCCTCCATCCTGTACCAGCGTTCAGTCCCTGAGGACCTCTGGCTGCGGTGGTCCCTCCAGCTCCACTGGAACACTCGTGTCATCTGTCGGCTGTGCGTTTGTGTGTGTGTACCTGTTGCATCGGGGTCCTTTGTGTGCTCACAGGACAACACGCTGGACTTCATCGAGTACGTGGCGGCGCTCCACCTGCTCCTGAGGGGGAACCTGGAGGACCGGCTCAAATGGTCCTTCAAGATGTACGACACGGACGGGAACGGCATGCTGGACCGGCACGAGGTGAAGCAGATCATCCAGGTGAGAGAAGAGAAGGGGGGGGGACGGGGACGGGACTTCTCACAGCGCTGATTTACTTTTGGTTCGGTGTAATCAAAGCAGAATGGGATCAACTCGACCATTTATGTGTCATTTCGTCGTTTTGTAACACAAATCCTCGTGTGTGTGTGTGTGTGTGTGGAGGGGGGGGGGGGGGGGGGGCGCGTCTCTCCACAGAAGAAAAAACACCTTTGCCAGGTGCTACAGTTTAAGCCTCTCGACTCAGACACGTAAATTTAGACTCTTCCGTTGATCTGATTTTCTGGACTTTGAGAGATTAGCTGATGTTCCATAGATTTTTCCTTATTGTGATTGCTATCTACCTGAAATATGATTATTCCTCCAGAGGAAGATAAGTGAACCTGATCTGATGATCTATTTAGACCATGAAAAGGAAAACATATTCTGCTCTTAACGTAGTGATGAAGTGGTGAAGTTTCATGTTAGTATCTACTCTTTAACTCAATTCTTCTGGTTTCTCACTCAGATTCTTCATAAAATCAAACTCCAGAAGAGTGACATCAGCATGACGCCATCGGAAATCTGTGACCGGATCTTTGACCTGGTGGATCAGAATCATGACGGTGAGGAGCAATAAAAGGTCCCGTTTATTCATGTCCTGTGTTTCAGGGTCTTCCTAACATCTCTATTCCCAACAACATGTAGAGAAATGGTGACGTGCGTGTGAACGAACACCACGCAGCTGTGTGCAGCAGCTGCTCTTCTGTGACCGGGTCCTCCATGTGGACTTTGTGCTTCTCTTCAGGTCAGATCACCTTGCCTGAGTTCATGGAGGGAGCTCAGAAGGACGAGTGGCTCATGAACCTGCTCAAGTTGGACGTCAACGCCACCGGTTGGGTCATCCAGAACTGCGGGAAGTTACCGTGACCTCCCCCTTGGTGGGAGGCGCCACTTGCAGGTTTTTCTTTGAGGCCGACTCAGAGGTGTGTCTCACCTGTTTCTCACCTGTGGCTCACCTTTGTCTCCACGTTGAGCTTCCTGTGACTCAAAGCCGGAGCTCGTGAGTTCTGCTGTGATTTTGATTCCTCGCTGCTTGGCCTCTGGACTGTTGTGGCCTTCAGCTGATGTCTCTATCTTGAGGCACCTCATGCTCACTAAGAACTTGGACTATAAATGCTTAATTTACCTCATTATTGATACGTTTCACATTGTGTTTGACATTCAGAGTATTACACAGAACTATTCACCGGTGAGGTGAATATTTCTGTTCACCCAGTGGTTTGATGGCTTAGTAACTGAATCCTTAGTGGTTGATTTCCTTGGCTCTCTTCTTCAAAAATCTAAAAACATGAACAAATAGATTATTACCATTGGGTTTATTTTATTTATTGTTTCCCTCGCAGGATTTTGGACCTCGAGAGTCTTTGGAGCTGTTCATCTGTGGTTTATTGGTTTGCGTTAGTCCAGTAATCTACAGGTGGAGGTGACACACAAACATATGCAGCAATGTGCCAGCAGAGAAAGGAGTAGAATAAAGCGGGATGTTAACAGTAGTGGATTTTAAAGACCTTCTGTCCTTTGATTAGGCTACACAATGGTACTGAACCCAATGGTACTGAAAAGTGTCATGAAAGTGTCATGACCTTCGAGGCTGTGGTGACTTTCACAATTAAAATAAATGAAATAGTTTAGAGACTATAACTTTCTGTTTGCCAATGAAGAACATTGGTTTGAAGGATCCACTGGATATGTTTTGGTGTTATTACATATCACTTAGTGATGCAGAGGTTATTTTACAGAATTCTTAACCAAGAAAAACTGTTTTTACAACTTGATACAAGTTGTGTTTCTGGCAAACACTGCAACCCCCCCCCCCTCTCTTCCCCTCTCCCCCAAAAAATAGTTGAATACTTGTGTTCCTTTTAGCTCTAGCTTTGGTCTCCACCACCTTTGGAAGGAAACATCTGTCTCATTTAGTGCTCCACCTTGTTCCCCGGCTGGTCGGTTGACCCCTGTTCTCATTTTCTATAATAGTTTGACTCATTGCGGTTTTGAATATGTTGATGCAGCTTTGTGAGAGCACGTCGCCAAAGTACCATCTTCAGTATCTCTTCTGTTTGTGGCTCTCCATCACAACGAACCTTAACATTTCTGCAGTGAGACTGAACTAACAGACTGATGTTTAATTGACTCATTTATTTCTGCAGTTGCCATTTTCATCTGGTAATAAAGAACCACAAAACAAAATGACAAAATATCATGTATTAATTTTTTTAGGTACTGTATAAAGGGGAAGAGATGGTTTCAGATGTGAATCTATTTTGTTATTAAGAACATTTTATGTACATATTCATACACACAATATTTTCGTAACTTTCTGGACGTGTCTTTTTGTGATTCTGTCACTTGGTGTCACTTGGATTCAGAAATGTGCAAATCCTACTCACAGAGGGTTCAAAGTAAATCCTCAAAGGCTCCGGATCAGTCCGTGTGCGGCAGGTCATAGATCTCATGTGTGTAAGTAGTTCTCACGTGACATTATCCAGGTCACGTGACGTGATCAAGAACAGGTATGGGTGTTAAGTGAGAAGAACGAGGTTGTTGGGTTGTTGAGTTGTTCTGAAACAGATGTGATAGAAAGAGGGAGTGGAAACCGTCTCAGGTTATTACAAGACCTGCTGCAAATGGAGAAGAGGAGGTTTCAATAGGTTGTGAGCAAGGGTGGGCTGGAAGAAAGGAATGGAGTGGGAGGGTCAGCAGAATGAGGGAAAAAAGAAGAAGGTAACTGTCCATGGTGCTGACAGCATGTCCCTGTCCATGGTGCTGACTGCATGGGGCTGACTGCATGTAACTGTCCATGGTTCTGACTGCATGGTGCTGACTGCATGTAACTGTCCATGGTGCTGACCACATGTAACTGTCCATGGTGCTGACTGCATGTAACTGTCCATGGTGCTGACTGCATGGTGCTGACTGCATGGTGCTGACTGCATGTAACTGTCCATGGTTCTGACTGCATGTAACTGTCCATGGTTCTGACTGCATGGTGCTGACTGCATGTAACTGTCCATGGTTCTGACTGCATGTAACTGTCCATGGTTCTGACTGCATGTAACTGTCCATGGTTCTGACTGCATGTAACTGTCCATGGTGCTGACTGTATTTTATTCCTTGTGCACTGTTGTCTTGTCGTCTATTGTCGTACTGTCTGCTGTTACGCACTGACCGCCAAGTGAAATTCCTTGTATGTCTGACATTTTATGGCAATGAAACTTATTTTCCCCATTATATTTTCCGAACTAATCATTCTTTTACTCCTTTTGCCATGAAACCATCAGTGTTTGATTATCATCGATCATTCTACATGGGAGTTCAGCTCAGGAAAGGTTGTGTTTTTCCTCAGCGGATAAAGTCAAACTTTGACGTCACACTTGTAATCTCGTTGAGGGCTCGGCGGCGGGTTTATCTCTTCGGGGGCTCTTTACTCTGATTGCTGTCAAAGGGAAGGAGGAGACGCTTACAAACGCGCAACATTGAGAAAATCGGAATTATTTTTCTTCGGTGCAATATGTAGTGATTTTTTCAGTTTCTCTAGATTTGCAAATATTTAAAAAATGTAAGGATTTGACATTTGGATTTGTCCAGTAGTTTGCCATAAAATAGGAGGGCAAAAGCCATGGACTCATAGCTAGTGAAGTGATGATTGCACACAACAGCTTCTCTGTGATTCTTTTTATTCATTTTTTAGCAGCTCATATGTTTGCTTGGAAATCATGGGTCAAGCCCCGAGTGCCGCGGATAAGGAAGTGACTCTCCAACACATCCAGGAGCTCTACCGCAAGTTTGCAAACCAATGTCCGAGTGGGAACCTGCACCTGCACGAATTCAAGAAAATCTTTGGAATCAACCAGAACTCCACGGCAGAAGAATCTGCGTACACGGAAAATGTGTTTCGGTCCTTTGACACCAATCGGGTAACGTACCTTCAAGAGATGCACTCAGGGTCTGTTGTAGTGAGGCCGTGTCTGACTGACGGTTCTGCCCCCGTCCCGTGTGCTTCTCAGGACAGCATGTTGGACTTCATGGAGTACGTGGCGGCGGTGCATCTGGTCCTTCGTGGGAAACTGGAGGACAAACTGAAGTGGTCTTTTAAAGTTTATGACAGAGACGGAAACGGCTGCCTGGACCGAGAGGAAGTGAGACACGTCGTCAAAGTGAGTATTCAGTCACTTTTATTAGTGATAGAAGAAATGTAAATGTCCAGGATATTTAAACCAATGTCTTTATTATTACTCTCTGTTCTAACAGGAGAGTTCTTCAACAGGTTTTCATATTATTTCTAAAGGTTTGAATACGTTTGATTGACATTCTGTGACACAAAGTCCAAATGGATAATTCTATCATGTGTTTCAGAACGGTCTTTGCTTCAGATCTCAGTCTTTTAAATTTGTAACTAGTCTCTTATGCATTTGCTCAGATCATCTACGCAATAAAGAAGCACAACAATCCGAGCATCACGGGAAATATCGAGGACATCTGTGACCGAATATTTCATTCAGTGGACAAGAATAACGACAGTAAGTTCCTTGTTTATTATGAGACAACGTGCTCACATTTAGTATCTACATCAACCATCCGTCCTCTGATGTCTGAGTGTCCCTTTGGTTCTCTTTGGAATCGTGTAGGCCAGATATCTTTGGAGGAATTCATCGAGGGGGCTGAGAGGGACCCCTGGGTGATGGACCAGCTCAAGTTGGACATCCAGCCCTGTGATTGGTTCATTGAACAGCAGGAGAAGAATCCCTGATTGGAGACTGAGTGACAGTGATGCTCCGCCTCCATTGTTTGTTTGTTTACACACCTCAGCGAGGACGTCTTTGGTTGTGAGACGTCCCGACTGCTTCCAGCTGCAGGACGCAGACACACAAACGTCTTTCCCAGTCTTGTCCTGCAAAAGGTTTTTCAACTCAGGAAGCTGTTAAGCTGAAACCTGCAAAAGACAATATCTCCAAATCTTAATAGTTCAGTAAATCATATGTGCTACTGGAAGGTGAACTTTGTTTCAAGAATGATATTTTATTTTATCATTTGAATTGTTTCATATAGACGCTGTACACGTAAGCATGGTGATAACAAACCTTTGATCAATACAAACTGGTCAAAATATTATCATAGGAAATAAGATGATGATATTTTTTGTGGTATACACTTTGTTTTATGTCTTAAATCACAATCTCTCCAAGCGTAAGTTGAGCTTTCTGGTTTTGAACACCAGACTTGAAAGAGAGATGAAAAGAGGTATTCAAGAGAAATTCAAGTGTTTAGGAAAATAAGTGTAGTAATAAGGAGCTGAACGCAGAAGAGGATGAAAACACGAGCGAGATCAGAGAGATCATGTTGTTGACAATAACTTTATTATCAACTGTTATTATCTATATTTCGTGTGTGTTCTAACATGTTCCTTTTATACTTGTCGCAGTGTTCAAGTGTTCAACTACGTTTCCCACATCCTGCATTTGATTCTTTGAACCCTGTGGGAGCTTTCACACGTGACCTGTTCTCAGCCTTTAATGCTCTTAACATAATATCCGTTACTCCACAGAGATCCCTTGTTTCGGTTTGTACGTTTTACGTCGCGCTTTGTTCTGCTGTGAATGTGTGCGACGTTCTACACTCTGAATCAGTTTAATTTACTGTTCTTCATACTACTTTCACTGCTGAGGCTATTTTAAGCGATTAATGATCAAATGGGTTTTAATTCTATTCAACTAAACATGCAGTCTATTGAGTTTTTGTGATCTTTGTATTATTTGTCTTGAAGACTTTTGTTACTGCATCAATCATGTAATCAATTTGTGTTCTTAAATGCAAACATAGCAGGTCGGATCCGTTGTGATTTCTGACACATGACCATAAAACACAGTTATCCTACTACATCATGCCGTAATTCATTGAACCGTAAAATACAGTACAACTTCATTTCAGCGTAAAATAACGGTTTGGAGTGCTAAAGTTCTTACATGTCCATCAAGGCCATGAACCAGGTCATTTCCATAATACCTGAGGACTTTGAGGAGGCTTCATTCACACTTCAATCTGTTCGATTATTTATGTTTATCCTCCAGATTTCAGTCCTTTATGTGGAAAAAATAAATCTTTCTCAAGAGTTTAGCATCCAGTCCTGAGCTGCGTCCAAAACTCAATGACGTACTATTTGCAAAACGTGAGTTCTCCGCTCAATGTCGCGTGATGGAGAAGCACCAGATCCCTTCCGGGAACTGTCACCATGACGTCACTGCGCATGCGCAGCGCACCCCTCCTTCTATCTGTTGACAAACGTGACCAGCGCCTTTCTGTTGGCAAAGTGGCGACAAGAAATGTGTTTTTCTGGGATTGTGTTGACGCTGTGAGGCTTCGGGTGGACTCTGTATGACGCCGTGAATCCGGTAAGCACCTGAAAAGTAACGTTTAACGGGCACGAGCTAAATGCATCAGGTGGGCTGCCAAGATGCAGCTCGCGGCTAGCTGAGTTAGCATGTAGCCAGACAAAGTCAGCTGGCCGGATCAGCTTCCGGTAGAACCGGTACCGGTTTTAAATAACTGACCCGCACCGCCGAACCCCCCCGAGGACTCCTCCGGCACTGGTGTGAAGCCTTCCGCGCTGCTAACCAGCCGCCAGGACGGCTAACCCCGTTAGCATAGCATTGGGCGACGCTAGCTAGAAACTTAAATAACGTCTGACTCCTCCGCTTTCTGCCGGCGCCGCCGTCAGCGAGCCTCCGGGTTCCACGATCAGCTCATTGTGCTTCTCCAGCCCAGTCGTCCTCTGTATCTCCGCCGGGGCCTCCTGGACGCTCCGCCGAGCTGGAGCCGAGACCAGTGGGGCAGTTTAGCGTTAGCATCGGTGCGTTTCCCTGCCACTCTGCCGTCCACCTTAATGTGTCCCTCGGAGGACACGCGGACAAACCGGCTGCGCGGGTCCACGCGCCGCCCCTCCGTGTTACACGCAGCGGGGGGGGGGCCGCCAACCACCCGGGGCAACCAGACCAGTTCGACCTGAGGCGCGTCACGTGGGTGGACCGGTTCTACCAGGTGATCGCGGCCTGCTCGGGCCCGCTGCCAGCGGTCTCCGCGTGATCCCGTGACCCACATACCGGCCCGTGTCGGGCCCTGCGGGACCTGCTGCTGGACCATTGACGAGAGGGAAGAGCGGCTCCTTCCTCTAAACTTTTACATCACGGCTTAAACCATCATATAACACACGTTACACTAAGTATTGTTATGTAGATGTGTGGTAGCAGAGGCTGGCCTGCCAGAGGTGGGACTTAAATCAGAGACGGGTTACTCAACGAAGACGAACCGGAGGACGCAAAGCCGCCGCGCTGAGCCGGCTTGTGACTGACTCGTGTCCTGTGTGTCCCTCAGGGCTGAACTCTCATCATGCTCAAATGGCTTTCTGGGGAAGAGGGGGCGCCCGGCTCTGCGGTAAGTACGCCTCATTATTTATTTATTCATTACCGCCGCGTCGCCCGTGTCCAGCGGGACGAGTCAAGGTGTTCTCGTGCTGCTCAAAGGAAACCCAGGGAAAGCCTTGCGGTGCGTTTCGTGTCCAGATGGACTGGAATTCGGTAGACTGCTGAGCGCAGGGCTTAGACTGAGACAACCACAGCTCACGCTTCCTGTTAGGGGGGGGGGGTTACTACAGCCTAAACCCCCCTGTGCCCCCCGTCCTGTTGTTATTACCCTACTGCACCTCTAGCCAGGAACACGAGGAGGTGAAAGAGGGCAGCACTTCTCCTCTTTTGAATCCTCCGTTGTCTTTCACCTCGGTCCCGTTCATTTCATAAACTGCCCCCCCCAGCAGGGTCCAGGCTCTCCGGGCGGCGCTGCAGGCGGCGGCGGCGGCGAGGTGGCCGTGGAGGAAATGGCGGAGCGGCTGGGCCAAACGGAGCTGCTGGTCGCTCAGCTGAAGGAGTTGATCCGGGAGAAGGACGCGGCACTCGGCTCCAAAGAGGAGCAGCTTAAGGTGAAGACGCGTTTGTCCCATCGACGGGGACGTTTTTGATGACGTCACCAGTATGTCCTGCAGTGTCCTGGTTTAAGCACAGTGGCTCTTTGCTGTCACCTCGTTGTATTACTGACATGAGTGTTGTTACGTGAAGTAGTGCATGCTGGGATCTGAGAAGGATTTTGTCCCCGACTGATCCCGGCACAGCTGGTCACATGAGTTATTCTGATCCTGTTAGTCAACCGCTGAGGTCATTGAGTTAAAGAACCCACTTGGGGTCTCGTATGAACGGCCCCCCCGTCGTAGAGGAATGTCACTAGTTAACTATTTAACCTCCAGGGTCAAAGTCTGCGTCCTCATGATGCGGACGGAATGTGAGATTCGAGACTCTGACGGCAGATGAGCACTTAGAGACTCAATAGGTGACATTAGAGAAACCGGCGTCTCCTGAAAGCTAACTAGTTTAGCTCAAAGATGCTAAATAAAGACTCCGCCCCCCAAATGACCATTTCTCACAGCTGTTGAGATTAAGCAGCTGAATGAAGCAGCGGAGCAGCTGCAGATATCTGCCTTCTATTTATGGTTCCTTCGGTTAAAGAAACGTGAGGAAAAAGTGCCTAAAACACGTCCCTCGCGTTAAACGCGCCCCGTCCCAGGTGGAGAAGGAGGCGTGCGAGTCCAAACTGTCCAAGCTGCGTCTGCAGAACAAGGCCAAGGTGACCTCGCTGACCTCTCAGCTGGAGGAGCTGAGGAAGCAGCAGGGGGGTCAGGGCACGCCGACCCGTGGAAAAAAGGTACAGGCGCGCACACACACACACAGACACACACACGTGTGGTTACCACACGCAGTGCATGAATTATGTTTGAACACTGATTCTAATGCAGATCAATACACGTTTCTACCACTAGGGGCTCCCTGTAAAGTCAGTGTTTGTCACACACAACGCCGGCATAAGAAGCTGTTATGATGAATGACGCACAAGGACTTTGGTCTCATGGGGTGTACATTATTAGCTCATCGCCTCTTGGTTCCCCGCAGGGCTCATCGGAGGGAGAGCACGCCAGTCGGGGAAAGATTGTCCTGTTGAAGAAAAAGGTCGAGGAGCTCGAGCAGCAGCTCGCACAACGACAAGAGGAGCTGGATCACAAGGTGACCTGTTTGGACTAATTGGTTGATTCTGTCTCCTATTACATGCAGACACATGAGACCTTTGTCCCACGGCTGGTGTCTCTTCACTGTCTCGTCCTAAACCTTTTGCAACCCTCAGTGTCATCGTGACTCTTGTCTTTCCACATCTATTCAACCTGCTTCCCTTCTCACCCGCTGTGTCTGAGGGCCTCCTGCTGGCTTCTCCTTTCCCTCCATCAGACTGTAACTCATCTACCTGACATATAGATATATATATATATATATCTACCTACACAATACCCTAGAAATGATTATAACATGAGGACATGAACAGAGTCTTGACGAAGGACACAATTGGTCTCTTGATGATTTCTTCTCTCTCGCGGCACGTTTTGAAAGCTTGATTCTTCCCGGCTACGTTTGCAGAGTTGGAATCTTATTCTTCATTTCTCTGACGTGAAAGCTGCTCGTGGGTTTCTTCCAGGCGAAGGCGGTGGAGTCGCAGCGGCAGCGCGGCGAGGAAATGGACGCCATGCTGACGGAGAGGGACAGGAAGCTGGCGGAAAAGGAGGCGTACATTGTTCACCTGCAGACGGCGCTGGCGGGAGATCGGCCTGCTGCACCGGCCCCACAGCCGAAGGTCTCACTGCCAGCGTTTTCACACATCGAGGGTCGCAGCGTAGAAAGAACTGAGAATACGATAAACTCCCAGAGATTAAAGGCAAGAGGACGAACCAAGCAAAGGTGGCATCATCTCTTTTAATCTCTGTGGTTAAAATCTTAGAAACGTCTTTTTCTTAGTGAAGAAATCGTCGTCGTGAGCTCGATCCCTCAAACCGCCTGCAGCTCATCGGCTAGATTCATTCATGTTTGCCCCTCAGCTGTTTGCTCTCTCTCACCGTCGAAGTGTGCTCCACCCCCTCAGGAGGCGGAGGACGGCGCAGCGATGCAGGAGCTGCAGCTGCTGGTGCAGAGCCTCACCAGGAAGGTGGGGGAGGCAGAGGAGCGCTACAGTTTGCTGCAGGAGCAGGCGGAGAGCCTCAAGGAGCTGGTGGCCTCCGAGAAGGAGCAGTACCTCCAGAAGGAGACCATGTACAAGCAGAACGTAAGATGAAGCTGATGTCAGTGTTTCCCCCCTCGGCCTCCACTGTGTGTGGAGTCGTCCCCTTCATTCCCATGATGCACCCTGTGTCTGTCGGCCTTTTTTAGATCCAGACATTCAAAGACATCCTAATTCAGAAGGACAATCAGCTGACGGAGATCAGCCGGATGCACGAGCAGGAGCTCTTCAAGCTGGCGGCGAAGTCCGACGCCAGCGCGGACCTGGAGCAGGTGGTGACGTCACTCGCGTCTAAATCCATGAGCTTCTTCTAGTTGCTCCGTGCCGTTTGTGTCATTCTAAACACGCCTTTTTCTCCTCCTCAGCTTTTGAAGGCGCTGAAGCAGAAGCTCCATGAGAAGGAGGAGGTGCTTCTGGGTAAAACGCAGGTCATTGATGTTCTCCAGGGAGAGGTGGACGGCCGGGACCAGCAGATACAGGTACCCGGTACCAGCCGGACGCGCGACGCGCTCATTTCACTTGAATACTAAATAGACATTAGAGACGTCATCGTCACGTTACTCCCCCTCCACCCTCAGGAGCTGGTGGAGCGGCTTCGTCGGCTGCAGGTGGAGCGGGAGAGTCTGGCCTCCCGGATGGAGGCGGAGAAGCACGTGATGCGAGCGCAGCTCCGCGACCTGATGGAGAAGCAGCAGGCGGAGGTGCAGCGCATGACGGAGCAGCACCGGGCCCTGCTGGACCAGACGCAGCGGGATCTCCAGGCGCAGCCGGAGGAGCCCAGGAGGCGGGAGGCGGAGCCGGGCGCCGCCCACGGGACGGAGGAGCTGGAGGGTCGGTGGTTCTTTAGTTTGACCGAGGGGACGTCTCAGCGTTTGTCCTCATGAGTCCGAAAAGGAAACCCTTCTAGTCTACTCTCTAAGAAGATGCTTCTGTTTTAACGCAAGATATTTAGTGAACTTCTCATCGAGTTGTTTTTGTTTTTATCAAACTTTACACCCATTCTATGAAATCTAATGACCTGCTTTGATAAAAACAGGATCCCTGTTGTATTTTAAAGACAATTCATACAATTCATTTGCAGCTCGAGCAAAGCAAAAGACGGAGGAAGCCAGAAGAGCAGAGGACAAGTTCCTGAAAATGAAGGCGTGGTCTAAAACCCGGATCAGACAGCTGGAGGAGGAGCTAAGGAAAAGCCAGGTGACAAGTTATTATGCGCCTGAAGGGACGACGTCAAAAAGAAAATGTTCTTTTGAATTGATCCAAAGGGAATCGTTGAGACAGAAACCGACGTAATCCCCGTCATCGTGGAAGATAGTTTATGGCCTTTTGTGATTAACCCTGAAGGCCGTTGACTAATCTGAGTTCCACTCCATTCTGTTTGTGCGCCCCCTGGTGGTTGAGGGAATAATGCTTATTTAAACTGTTCACTGTGTCCCCTTTAGGCTGGAGGAGCCCCCCCGGACATGACGGCGCTGCGGAGTCGTGTCACCGCACTGGAGGAGGAGAGGGAGGAGAACGTCTGGAAGGTGGAGCAGTACGAGGAGCTCAAAGCCAAGAACGGTACCCAGAGATCCGACCCGGTGAATCTGCGGCGTCATCGGCGGCTTCGAGGCCATAAGCGTGTGTGTGTGTGTGTGTGTGTGATGTCTCCTGCCAGAGATGCTGGAGGCCAAGCTGGTGGTGTACGAGGAGCAGCAGAGGACACTGCAAGCCGACCTGGAGCAGTTCACCAAGCGGGCCGCCTCCCAGGTCTCCACGTCTGCCCCCTCCCCCCCTCCCTCCCTCCCACACCACCCTCCCCGGACTCACCCTCTGCTCCCCCCTCTTCTCCTCACAGGCCAGCGAGTCCGGCAGCGCCGACGAGGCCCAGAGCCAAGTGCTGGAGTGGCAGGAGATGGTGGTGGAGGCGGTTGGCGCCAGGGACCGGGCCAAGGAGGAGCAGGCGGCCATGGCCCTCCGCATCAGCCACATGGAGGAGGAGAGAGAGGGTGAGGCCGGGGGAGCTCAGCGGGGGGGGTTGTGCACGCAGACGTTCTCCTACATGCCGAATGTACCAACGTGTGATCGTGATCCTTCATTCAACGCGGAGAATCAGCTGCTGATGATGCAGCTTGTTTATCTCTGCATGCGTCACGTCGTATCAACCTGCTTCACGCTGGACCAGCGTCACACTCGGCACGTCCCTCCTCCTCATGACGAGGTCAGAAGCTCAAAGGACGAATGTTAAAGGTCACACCTAAATCTGGCCATATTAATCAAGTGAACTTCTCTAATCAGATTAGATTTACATACTTCATTTACAACAGCAGATAAAGGTCTAAACACATAGTTTCATTAGACAATCTGTAGAATTCTGTATTTAATAAAGCACCAGTTTTGATATAAAAGTGGAGAATAAAATAAATATTTTGCAATATAATGCAAAAAAAACATTGATCACTTTAAAGGCCGACGAGCAGCGACCTTCCTGTTACTCCTTGTATTTACTCGTGACCCCCCCTCACCCATGAGTTCTACTTTATCACCCGTCCTCTGTTGTCTCACTGAACATTACCTTTTTTTTTCCCCGTCATGTCCTCACATTCGTTATTGGGGAGCATTGGCTTCCCCCCCGAGCTGCCTCCCATCTCTCGGACCTCTGCGCCCCCCCCCAGCCCCTCCCTCTCTAACTCCTGCCCCTGATCCAGGGATGGGAGCAGCCACACAGAACAGTTTCCCATCAGTTTTGTGCATGCAGGCCCCCCCCCCCCCCCACACACAAAGAAAATACCGCTGGCTGTACTGCCTGCTGCTCCCCCCAAACTTTACCTCTTAAGCCGGGGAGAGCTGCCGGCAGTACAGTCCTTCATTTAGTCTCCCCCCTCCTCCCTCCTCTGTTGTTTTTCATCTCCACCTCCTTCTCTCCTTGTTGCCTTTCATCTCTGATGTCACACTAAAACCTTCTGGAATAATCCACTGATCATTAACCTGGCGTCCAATACGACGGTTCTCTGCTGGGAAGCATTGATGCTCCCAGTCCCATGGAAGTCTATGGGAAATGATAGTGACCAGCAGGGGGCGACTCCTCTGCTCCCATAGACGTCTATGAGGAAATGACTCTACTTCTCTGTAGTGACCAGCAGGGGGCGACTCCTCTGCTCCCATAGACGTCTATGAGGAAATGACTCTACTTCTCTGTAGTGACCAGCAGGGGGCGACTCCTCTGCTCCCATAGACGTCTATGAGGAAATGACTCTACTTCTCTGTAGTGACCAGCAGGGGGCGACTCCTCTGCTCCCATAGACGTCTATGAGGAAATGACTCTACTTCTCTGTAGTGACCAGCAGGGGGCGACTCCTCTGCTCCCATAGACGTCTATGAGGAAATGACTCTACTTCTCTGTAGTGACCAGCAGGGGGCGACTCCTCTGCTCCCATAGACGTCTATGAGGAAATGACTCTACTTCTCTGTAGTGACCAGCAGGGGGCGACTCCTCTGCTCCCATAGACGTCTATGAGGAAAAGTCTTCTTCAACACAGCGTGATGTTCATTTAGTGAATTATGGTCCATTCAGAGTCAAACAGACCATAAGGCAGCGGACGCTTTAGGGGCGGGGCTACACGCTGTTGGGTTTGTACCAGAGACGTTTACGGTTTCTCTACGTCCTCCTCTCCCCAAATATGGTCACTTCCTGTTCAGTGGTGACAAAATATCAGGATGGCGAGCGCTTCAATTTGCCACTGCCAAGGGAAGCTTATGCACTAACTGGCCTGCTGCTGCCTTCAGGAGCTGCTGGACATCCAGGATTTGTCTTCTTCTGACCTTCAGGTGTCCTTTATTCAATCTAGACCCTTAATTTAAGGTACGAATGGTTCCGAGGGAAACAAAGTTCAATTCTTTTACTTTTTCTCGTCTTAACTAAATATAAAATAATTCCTGTTCCTGTCATCACATGGAGTCACATGGGGGGTTGAAGGCGGCTCTTTATCGCTCTGCTGACCTCCTTTCATCTGCTGCTGTTTCACCCAAATCCGCCTAAAGGAGCGCGAGTGACCTCACGCGACCCTTAATAATCTCTGGTGACCTCTCTGCTCCATCTCATGACTCCTGCTTCTCCCACCCTTTGTTTTCTGCCCCCCTGCACCTCCTCACAAGCACATCTGCCTGTTGTCACAAAACAGATGGGAACACGTCTTGTTAAGCGTTTTGAGTATTTAAGCCCCCGACTTATGAGGACAGCAACGTCCTCCCGCAGCACTTGTCCCCCCGTGTTAAGTCACTGTTATCCTCTGCTATGCAAACATCCATCTGCACAGCTCGTTACAACCAACATGCTGTCTCTGTCCTCGTCCTCTCAGTCCACTTCTGTCTGTCCTCGTCCTCTCAGTCCACTTCAGTCTGCCTGTTTCTCTGTCCCCGTCCTCTCTTTCCACTTCAGTCTGTCTCTCTGTCCCCGTCCTCTCAGTCCACTTCTGCCTGTCTCTCTGTCCTCGTCCTCTCAGTCCACTTCTGCCTGTCTCTCTGTCCTCGTCCGCTCAGTCCACTTCTGCCTGTCTCTCTGTCCTCGTCCACTTCTGCCTGTCTCTCTGTCCTCGTTGTCTCAGTCCACTTCTGCCTGTCTCTCTGTCCCCGTCCTCTCAGTCCACTTCTGCCTGTCTCTCTGTCCTCGTCGTCTCAGTCCACTTCTGCCTGTCTCTCTGTCCCCGTCCTCTCAGTCCACTTCTGCCTGTCTCTCTGTCCTCGTCCTCTCAGTCCTCTTCTACCTGTCTCTCTGTCCTTGTCCTCAGTCTGTCTTGACACGGTTCCATCCTGCCCCCCCTCATCCATCCATCGTCATGAATTCACCCCCCCCCCCCCTCCCTGTGGCACAAAACTGATTGAGGATGACTGGTTCTTTCCTGGCTGCTCCGATCCAGCACTGGCCACCCGGCAGCGGGAGTTGGAGGAGGAGCTGACTCAAGCTCGGGGGCTCGGCCACGCCCCCCGGGCCAAGGCGCCGCCCCCCCCGGCCCAGCGGAGCCTGCAGGTACGTCCTCACATTGACCCGAACATTTCCAAAAAAGAACGAGCTTCTTCTCTGCGTCGCCGTCACAGAGCTCCGGATTCTCCATGAAACAATCGTCCCTGCAGCGGATTTGTTATTCAGACGCTAAATGAGATGTAGACGTTTATGGACCATAATCTTCTCACAAAAGATGTTTGTCTTGGAGAGCGGAGAAGATCAGTACCGTTGTGGATCTGGACCAGAAGGGGGTTCAGGCCTTTGTTTGACGGTGCTTACCCCCCCCCCTTCCCCCCTTACAGGACGACTTTGAGTTTGACGGACAGGCCTCGTTCCAGGACCCCCGGGGCCCCTCGGAGAGCACGACCCCGATGGAGGGAGAGAACATGGGAGGTTGGTGGCCCGAGTTCAGTGCCCCTGACACAGGTGTGAGACCCGCTGGACGGCTGGCCGGCATGCACACGTTCATCCGCACGTCACGCATATACGCACCATAACGCCTTATTTGGTTGCTTGTCAGTTGGTGCATCTCCATCTAACTGGTGTTGTGACCGTAAGCGCCGTGTCATCCTTACGGGGGGGGCGGGGTTAATGATACGGTGGCGGTGGGACGGCGGGTGACGGACGTGCTGCATGCTGGTGCAGCCGCCTCGTGTCTGTGGGATCAGTGTTGTGTGAGTTGCAGGGTAAGTTCATTTCGTTGTTCACACGCTGAGCTCGTCCTTCTTTTCTTTTTCATTGCTTCTCATCTTTTTCTCTTTCAATTGCTTCCTGTCACACGACCAAAAAGTACTGCAGAAGCTCCACGTAACTCAAACTAAAGTGGGTTAGAATTGGACTCGTGGTTTGAATGTAAATGTGAGTCGTGCATGTTTCTCCTGAAGAGCGACCGTGTTGCTGCTTCCCGCTGGCTCTCCTGGTCCAGCACCTCTGGAGGCAGCGGGGCTGTCGCTTTGTGTAAAAACGCATGCAGACGTCTGATTTCATGCGGATGCTTCCAGCACATTCCACCCTTGTGCTGCCTCACTTTGACCTTTAGATCTGTTTCCCTCCTACTTCTACTGCAAAGCGACAGTCAGACCCTCTGAGCAGCTTTTATTCTGAAACCTCTGTGCAGGAAGTGATGAGTTCCCTCCATGGTAACTTCTCAGTGCCTGAATGATTGATGACAGAAATTGACAGTGACTGTCCCCCCCCCGCCCCCCCCCCTGCAGATGGCCTGCGCTCCGTGGTGGAGGAGCTGGAGCTGGAGAGGAACCAGCTGCAGGAGCAGATCCTGAGCCTGGAGGAGCACTGCCAAGATCTGGAGGACCGGCTGCAGCTGCAGGCGCGCATTGAGGCCTTACAGGTACCGTGTGCTACGTCCCCGCGCGCTACGTCCCCGCGCGCTACGTCCCCGCGCGCTACGTCCCTGCTGCTACGTCCCCGCGCGCTCTGGGAAACCTAATGTGGACGTACTTTGGACACTTAAAATTCTGAAGTCGTGCTCCCATGTGATCGTCACACACAGCGGACTTCAATCCCAAAATGAGTCATTTTACTTCACAGATCTCAGGAGTTTCTTTTCTACTCCGGGTTGGTTTGTTTGTGTTATTGTGACACTTTGCTGACTCCAGCAGAAAGTAAATGACTGCTTTTATGAGTCTGGTGTCTTTGGAGAGAGCAGAGATAAAGCTTCAGAAGGTAAAGATTCAAATATCATTGGTTTGCTCTGGTTCTCCTTCTGCTGTGGGGAGGAACTTAGTATTAATACTGTTCCTTTTTCACTCTCAAATAGGATATACACACAGATCATTATTTACCCCTAAGTGGATCCAAGAAGCATGTGATTGGATCAATATGCGCTTGTTTGTCATCCACGTCTGTGGGGAGAATCTCTCTCTTTAATCTTTGCACATCGATCCATCAGAACGAGTCGGAGAGACTTCAGAGTCAGCTGACCGGCCTCCGCAGTCAGCAGAGCCGAGACGCAGAGAACCACCAGCTGCTGGTGGCCAGCCTCAACGAACAGCTCAAAGGGTGAGTCCTCTGACCTTTGACCCCGACGTGTGTGTTCTACCACAACATGCCATCACGGCATTATTACAATAATCCAGTCACAACGCCGGTTGAGAAGATCACTTTTGCACATCTGCCGATGACAATTTGAATGAAAACTAGGAAGTGGCGACATTTGATAAACTGCCAAACAACAAAAGTCGCCCCACAAACAGATTCCACTCCCAGGCCTCTGCCTTTTCCCAGCCAGACGGAGGCCTGAGTTGAATGTGTGTGTGTGTTCCTCAGGCTGAGCAGCACGCAGGAGAGCCTGGAGAGCTCGCTCATCGAGAAGGACAACGCGTTGGCCAAGACGTCCGAGAAGCTGGAGCTCATCAGCGGCCTCCGGGAGTCTTTGGGCGAGAAAGAGGCCGAGTGCAGAGAGGCGTCCGACAAGCTGCTCCAGGCCGAGCGCGCTGTGAGAGCTCGGGCGCCGTCTCTCCGTTGCTACTTGGTGTCCTGCATGCTCCTTTTAATGCTTCTGTGGGGTTTTTTTCTTCTCCCTGCAGCTCCTGGACGCTTCCAGTAAGCGCAGCAGCTCAGAGAAGCAGTGCTCCGAGCTGAGAGCAGAGGTGGTCGACCTCGCGCAGAAGCTGAGCGCGCTGAAGGAGAAGGTGAGCTCTGCTTGGAACATCAAGGTTTACTTGTCACTTGTTGCAGGACCACAGAAGATGCTCTAACATCTACACTGGGACTGAATGATGAATACACGATGACAGTGATAATAAATATTCCCCCATCTTCTCATCTTCAGACACAAAAGCAGGAAGTCACCATCGACACTTTACAGACGGAGCTGGATCAGACCAACGAGGAGCTGGACAAACTGAACTCCGCCCACTTGGAGGAACGAGCTCACCTCATTCACGACCTGCAGGGCTGCGAGCGGGAGATCGACCGACTCAAAGACGTGCTGCTGGAAAAGGAGGAGGAGATCCAGACCCTCTCCGGGAGCACGGCGGAGTACGCGGAGCAGGTCACGGCGCTGAAGCAGGAGGTCAAGCTCAAGGAGGAGAGCCTGGTCCGCGCTGAGAGCTCTCTGGGTAAGGCGGAGCGGGAAGCCGCAGTTACCAGAGAGTCGCAGACCTCAGATCAGCAGGCGCTGGACAGCAAGATCACGCAGCTGGTGGAGAAGGTGAAGGACGCCGAGGCGGAGCTGCTCAAGGCCAAAGACGAGCGAGAGTCCAAGGAGGCCGAGGCAGAACGTCTGACGAGGCAAAATGAGGAGGACCGGAGAGCTATCCTGGACCTTCGGGGGGAGATCCAGCAGCAGCTCGAGAGCCATCGCAGTCGTCTCTCAGAACGAGAAGCACACATCGCTGCACTACAGGAGCGGCTCACCGCCGCCACGCAGAAGCAGCAGGAGTCCGACGAACTCCTCCTGCAGCTCAAGGACCGGAGCACCGGCAGCGAGCGGCTGCAGCAGCAACTCCGTGACAATGAAAGAGAACTGAAGACCTTCAAGGACGAGAAGAACGGCCTCCTGGCACAGGTGGAGAACTGCAGCAGGGAAATGCAGACCTTGTCCAAACGGTTGGAGGAACAAACGCAGAGTGAGGAGCACGGCAGGAGAGAGCTTCAAGAGAAACGGGAAACCATCGAGACACTGGAAGGCCGGCTAAAGAGCACCGATGAGCAGGCCGAGGACGACCGGCAGAAGCTCAACGACCGCCTGAAAGAGAACGAGAAGCTGAGCAGCGAACTTCTAAACAAATCTGAAAGCATCTCCAAACTCAAGAGTCTGCTGAAAAGCATGAAGACGGAGAAGAAGCAGCTCCAAGAGAAGCTGCAGGGGCTGACGGAGGAGCTGGAGCAGCACAAGCAGAGCGTGGATCAGCTCACAGAGAAGAACGCCGCCGCTCTTGAACTCCACCGCGGTCTCGTGGAGCAAGTGCACGGCCTCGCCGAGGAGAAAGCCAGGCTGGAACTGCAAGTAGCAGAGAGCGCCGAGACCGTGGGAGGAGTCACACTGGAGAGGGACTCGCTGGGGACGCAGCTTTCGCAGAGCGCCGCCGCGATCGAAGGGCTGCGAGGCGACAACGAGCGCCTGACCCTTCGAGCTCACGAGCTGAACCGGGCTCTCGAGCAGAGCGCAGAGACTCTGCTGGCCAAAAGCGCCGAATGCAGGAACCTGGAGCAGCGCGTCCGGAGCTTGTCAGCCGAGGTGGAGCAGCTCCAGCACCATCACCGATCACAGGCGGAGGCGCGGCAGACGGAACTGCAGGAGAAGGAGACGCTGCAGAGTGAGCTCGCTCTCCTCAAGAACGCGGCGATCACACTGGAAGCCGAAGCCGCGTCGCTGAGCGAGGAGCGCTCACAGCTCCGCCGGCTGCTGACGGAGCGAGAGGAGGCGCTGAGCAGCGCGACGCGCAACGGCCTGAAACGCAAGGAGGAGCTGGACGACGCCAACAACGCCGTGAAGTCTCTGAGCGAGCAAATCCGCCTGCTGCAGGAAGACGGGAAGAGGCGGGAGGCCGAAGCGGAACTGGAGCACGCCGGCTTAGACGACCGCGTCCAGGCGCTGACGGAGCAAAACCGCCAGCTCCGCGCCGCGTGCGAGTCCAGCGAGAGGGAGCTGGCCCTGCAGAGCCGGGCGCGCGCCGACCTCGATGGGCAGCTCAGGGCCACGTCGGAGCAGAACGCCGGCCTGAGCCTGAAGGTCAGCGGCCTGACGCAGAGCAACGAGGCGCTGCGAGCGTCGCTCTCTGAACTGAGTTTACTGCGAGAACAAAGCTCAGAGGATCAGAAGGTTATTATGGGCCTGTTGAAGGACAAGGAGGCGCTCGCCTCGGCGGGGAACGAGTTGAAAAACGTGCAACAGTCAAACTCTGCAAGTTTGCTGGAGAAAACGAGGGAATGTGCTTCTCTTTCTGAAGCGCTGCGGCAGAGCGAGGAGCAGCTCCAGGGTCAACGGGAGCAAGTCGCTCGACTCAGCCGGTCGCTGGACGAGAAGCAGGACGAGCTGCTGGGCCTTCAGGACACCGTGTCCACGCTCCAGCAGCAGGAAGCCCAGCAGCTGAAGGCCCTTCAGAGTGAAGAGCAGAAGGAGCAGACCTTCAGAGACCTGCTGGACGAGTTTGAAAAGCAGAAAGAGGAGCTGAGCAGACGCAACGAGTCTGTGTTCTCGCTCAGCGAGCAGCTCGCCGCCATGAACCACAGCGCCGCCGAGGCCGAGGCCGAGACCAGCGGCCTGAAGGCGGCCGTGCAGCAGCTGGAGGCGGAAAACAGGCGTCTGGCGCAGAGCGAGGAGCGGAGCGGAGCAGAGAGGGTCCACTTCAACCAAGACCTCCGCGCGCTGAGTGAGCAGAACGCAAGTTTGAAATCCGCACTCCAGGAAGCGGCGACGGAGATCGCCGCCGCGCGCCGAGAGGCCGAACGCCTCCACGCGGCCGTCTCTGAGGGCGAAGACAAACTCCAAGGTGCGAGCGCGGAGAAGCAGAGGCTCTGTTCGACGGTGCAAGCGAGAGACGAGTCCCTGCAGCAACACGAGGCGCTGATCCGGCGCCTCAGCGGGAGGATCAGCGAGCAGGAGCGGCAGCTGGAACAGAAGGCGCACGACATCGCCGCTTTGACCGCAAAGCTTTCGGAGCTGGAAGATTCTGCCGGGGAACTCCGGGGACGAGTTGACCGCCTTTCTTCGGAGTCTTGTCTTCTTAGGAACTCTTTGGAGGAAAAAGAACAGCTGAGTCTTGAGCACCAGAGTCGTTCTTCAGCTGCCGGCGAGCATCTGCGAGCCAAGGAGGCCGAGTGTGAGGGCCTGAAAGAACTCGCCTCCCGCCTGGAAGAGTCGCTCGCCAGCAGCCTCCGCGCTCACGCGTCTGAGGCGGAGAGCCTCAGACGGGCCGTGCAGGAGAAGGAGGCAGCTCTCGGGGATGTTCGGAGACGAGCAGATGAGGCGGCGCTCCTCGAGACCCGGTTCAGGGAGAGCGCGGAGCTGGTGTCCCACCTTCAGAGTCAGATTCGGCTCCTGTCTGCAGAGTGTGAACAGCTCAGAACGTCTGCAGGGGAAACGCAAAGTGCCTTCAACCGCCTTCAAGAGAAATCCGCTGCCGACTGGGAGGAGCTGCAGGCGGCGAGGAAGCAGCTGTCCCAGACCGCCGAGGAGCTGTCCGGCCTCCGGAGGGTACTGGACGACGCCGGCGCCGAGCGGCAGACGGCAACCGCAACCATAGAGACGCTGAGAAACGAAGCCCAGGAGCTGAACTCCAGCCTGTCCAAGCAAAAGGACGAAGCTCTGGCTTCTCATCAAGCCAGCGTGGCGCTGCTGACCGCGGAGACGGAGGCACTCAAATCGCAGCACCTGCAAGTCGTGGCGCAGATGAACGCGCTGACGGAGAACCTGGAGCAGAGGGAAATGGCTCTCCACGCCATCAACAGCCAGTACGCCGCGCAGGCCAAGCACGCGTCCCGGCTGCTCTCCGAGATGCAGGAGCTGGAACGGCAGAACGAGCGACTGACCGAGGAGAAGCAGGAGCACCAGAGGCGCCTCGAGGCCGCCGGCAATGAGAAGACGCGTCTGCAGGAGGAGGTTAGGAAACATCTGGCCGAGAGGGAGGAGCTGGAAAGGAGGTTTCAGCGAGTGCAGCGGGAGCTGCAGGTCCAGGTGGAGCAGAAGTCGAGCAGCCTGAGCCAAATAATGGAGCAAACGATGTCCGAGAAGGAGAACCTCCAAGCTAAGGTTAGTGCTGGAGACCAAGAGGTTTCTCTATTAAAAGAAAACATTGAAAAGATAGAGCAGGTTCTGCAGGATTCTGAGAGCGAGTGGCTGTTAGTTCTGGATAGAGAGAAGCAGGATAAACTCCTGCTCGCAGAGCAATTGAGAAGTGTTGAGAATGAAATGAAGTCTAAAGATGTGAAAGTCTGTGCTTTGAAGGGAGAGTTGGACCGCTTGCAGCAGAAGCTGGCAGAGGCCTCCGCCGCGATCAGGCAGGGCTGCGATCAGCTGAGCGCCAAGGAGTCTGAGGCGTCGGCGTCCAGGACTCAGCTTGAGAAGGTTCTACGGTCCGTCCGGGAGAAGGACGAAGACAACAGTCACCTGCAACGGGCTCTGAGCGCCGCAGAACAAGAGCTGCACAAACTTGTAGGGAGAAAATCCGCCGGTGACAAAGCGTGTGAGAGGTCGGCTGCTTCCCTACAGGACATGATTCAACAGTTGCAAGAAAGCCATCGGGCCGAGGTGGAGGCTTTGAGAGACCAGCTGGAGGAAACCAACTGCAGGCTGCAGAAAAGCCAGAGCGCGCTCGGTGGAGGCGAGAGACGCGAGGACGAGAGGATTCAACAAGTTGCTCTTCTGAAAGAGAAGGCGGAAGAGCTGCAGACTCGACTCGACGCCGAGGCGAAAGAAGCAGCTGTCAAACACGCTTCTTTGCGCAGCGAGTCACGAGCAAAAGACGAGCAGATCGGCTGTCTGAGCGTTCAGATCGCTCAGCAGAAGGAGCTGCTCGCCGGACTGAGCCAGCAGCTGAGGGAGAGAGACGCGTCCGTCGGCCAGCTCATCCACGCCGCCTCCAGTGAGAGGATGAGGCTCGGGGAGGAAATGAGGTCTCTGACGGCACAATTGGAAAGTGCAGAAGAAGAACTCCGAGCCTCCAGGAAGCGGTTCGGAGAGGCTTCCCGGCCGTTAGAGGAACCTCTGTGTGGCCCTCGGGGAGAAATTGAGGCCGAGAACTGTGAGAAGCTCGAGCTGATCAACAAAAACGACGATCTGAAGAGTGAACTGGCCAAAGTGTCGAAAGAGAAAGACGCAACCAAGAAGAAGCTCCAAGCCGCTCTGCTGGCGAGGAAGGATCTGTTGAAGAGAATTGAGCAATATGAAAAGCAAAGCGATAACAGCGAGCGTTCACTTTCACAGGCAGAGACGTATCAGGAGAACATTTCTCTCCTTGAAAAGAAGCTCCTCGAGAGGGAAACGCAGATTCTCAACCTCACGGCAGAAAGCACGAGACTGGTGGAGCAATGGCAGTCAGAGAAGCACATGCTGCAAGCTGCGCTGGGCGACCGGGAAGAGCGTCTATCGGAGGCTCTGCGGAAGCTGACCGAGGAACGTCAGCTGCAGTCCAGAGCGGAGGAGGCGTACCAGCGAGACCGGACCGGCTGGGAGCTGAAGTCAGAGCAGCTTCAAAAGGACTCGGAGGAGCAATCTTCCTCCACGGCTTCTGCCGTCCATTTGGAAAAGGAGCTGGCGCAGATGAAGCTGGAGAAGGCGAAGGTTCAGAAGAAGGCCCAGGCCGCTCTGCTGGCACGCAAAGAGACGCTGAAGAAGGCTCAGGAGAACGAAAAGAAGTTGACTCAAGAGCTGGGCGAGCTGAAGGACGACTACAAGGCTCTGCTGCAGCAGCGCTGCCAGCAGACCAACGAGCTCAACGCCCTCCAGCTGGACTTGGGCGAGAAGGTCGTGGAGCTGGAGGAACTCCGCCACAGATCGTTGTCCCACCTGGACGAACTGGCCACTTTGAGGCAGCTTGTCCAGGAGAGGGATGAAACTCTGCAGGATGTGAAGATGTGTCTGGCGGAGAAGGAGAGCCAGTGCCACTCTGTGGCTCACCTGCACACGGAGCTTGAAGATGTTAAATCCAAATTGGAGAGCTCGTCTCGTGAGGCGGCGAGTGGAAACCAGGCTCTGGTAGCCGCGGAGCGAAGAGCAGATGCACTGAAATCCAAACTTGAGAAGGACTTTGAGAAAGCTCACGCAGACGCAAAAGAGAGAGCGCAACAAGTTGAGAGATATCGGGAAGCATTTCAAGCCGCTGAGCTAAAGAGCCAGCAGGAGAAGGAGGACTTAAGGAACCAGCTGAGCGTCTCTCGGCAACAAGTGCACACGAATGAGGACAAATATCAACTCCTGATGGAGCAGAACAAGGCTCTTCTGGAGAAAAGTGCCCAGATGAAAGTGGAGCTTGAGGCTTTAGCGTCACAGAAACCAGAAACGCAAAGTGCTGCGACTGAGGAGCTTGAAAAAGCACAACTGCTTTGTTCTGAAACACAAAGAAAGTTGGATTTGTTAAAGCAAGAGAATGAAAACGCTTCCAGGTCGATGGCTGAGCTCCGGGATGAGGTCACAGCGCTGCGTGGCGAGCAGCAAACACACAAACAGGAAGCCGGTTCCTCCAGGAGGTCACGGGACGAGGCTTCTCGGCCGCCGCTCTCAGAGAAGGAAGAAGCGAGTCCTGCACTCAAACTGCCGTCGCAGCGTCCGGTTCAAGAGGTTGAAAGCATGAGAACGGAGGCTGAGCTTCAAAAGTCTCCAGACGGCGGCTCCAAGGCCAAAGACCAGGAGAGCAAAGTGTGTCTCCTGACCAGGAAGCTCCAGGCAGCTTTAGTCTCCAGGAAAGAGCTCCTGAGGGAAAACGCAACCCTCAAAGAAGAAGCGGAGAAGCTGTCGACCCGACACGAGCTGTCGGTGCTGCAGTTAAAAGAGCAGAACGCGGCGCTGCAGAGCTCGCTGTCGTCTCTGACCAGGGACAAGGAGCAGCTCTGGGCAGACAACCAGAGCCTCAAGCTGACTGTCGAGAACATCACGCAGCAGAAGCAAGCCTTCTCCTGCCAGCTGGAGTCTCTGAAGGACTCTCAGACGGAGGAGCTGTCCAAGTGGAAGTCAAAGCACGCCGACCTGAAACGGGAGTGCGAGTCTCTGCGGCAGGAAGCCCTCCAAAAGGTCCACCAATGTGAGACCCAGATGGAGATCCTGGACAAGCGAGCTCGAGAGACGGAGGAGGACAACGGGAGAATTAAAGAGAAGATGCACAAGTTCTCCAAAGAGAAGCGGCAGAAGATCGAGCAGCTGGAGGACGAGAACCTGAAAATTAGAGAAGGGCTGATTGAGCTCGAGGAAAACCACAAACTGGCAACGCGCTCGCTGACGGATAAAGAGGCGGAGATCTGCAGACTTGGAGAGAAGCTCACCGAGTTCCAGGCTGAGAACGGCCGACTGGCGGAGAAGCTGGAGGAGGCGAGCAGATCTTTGGAGGAGAAGCACTCCGAATCAAAGACGTACACCAACGTCATGCAGCGCAAACTGGATGAAGCACTCGGTCTGAATCGCTCCCTCACGGCTCAGATCGAGGCCCACAAATCGGAACTCGGAGCTCAGCTGGAAATCGACCGTCTGTTGCAAAAGGAGAAGCAGAATCTTTGCGAGCGATTGGAGGAGATGCAGCGCGATCACGAGCTGCAGCTGGGAAAGACCGGCGGGGACGTGGACGAGCTCCAAGACGCCGTCGAGCGACTCACCCGAGAGAGCACCAGCCTCCACGAGAGGACGAGGCTCCTGGAGGACGACAAGTCTCTTCTGCAGGAGGAGCTTGAAAACATTCAAGTGATTTCAAAGAAGGTGAAAAATGAAAACGAACATCTGGAAACTGTGGTCCTGAGAAGCTCTGAGACGATCGACGAACTCCGCGAGTCCGTCTGCGTTCTGCAAACCCGGAACTCGCAGCTGTCCTCTCAGCTGGCGGCGAGCCAGGAGACGAGCGCTCGCGTTCGCCAGGAGAAAGAGGAGGAGCATCTCAAACTGGTCCGGGAGTTTGAGAAAAAGCTCGAGACGGTTCAGAGAGGCAGCGAGGGCTCCAAGAACGTGAAGAAAGAACTGCAAGAGCTGCTCAGAGAAAAGCACCTGGAGATAAATCACCTTCAGCAAAACTGCATCAGATACCAGGAAGTCATTTTGGATCTGGAGAGCGCTGTGAAGAGCTCGCGCTCCGCCTGTGAGCACCTGGAGAGCGAGCTGAGCAAAAGCTCCCAGCAAGTCTTGGCTTTAGAGGAGGGAAGTAAACTGGTGGAAGCTGAGCTGATGAGGCACAAGGACCTCCTCCAGGAGGCCACGGAGAAGATCCAGAACGTTGAGTCCGAACGAGACCAACTGGCGCTGAACATCTCACAGGAAACAAAGACATCTGAGAATAACCAAATCCCAGAATCACCATCGAACCGAGATGAGAAACAATCCAATTCTTATTTGGAGAATCAGCTCATGCTACAGCAGCAGGTGGAAGACCTGAAGGACCTGAAGGACAAGGAGAGTCAGAAAGTGGAAGAGCTGAGGCAGCACTTAGACGCTCAAGACCTTCAGATAAACACCCTGAAGAGATCGGCGGTGACCAGCGAGGCTAAGCTGTCGGCCGTGTGCGCCTCTCCTCTAGGCGCAGATGCCTCCAAGCGCTGGACTCATTTGTACCAGAAGACGCTCCACGAGAAGGACAGCCAGCTCCTGGAGCAGGGCTTTGTCATCAAGCGCTTCCTGGAGGACATGAGAGTGAAGGACAAAGAGGTGAGTGAGCTCCGAGTGACCAAGTCCAGGCTGGAGAGGAACCTCGGCGAGTCCTCGGTGGCCGCGGCGGCGCAGCAGAGGCAGCTGTTTGTCCTGGGCGCGAGCAACGCCGAGCTCTCCGAGGCCGTGGAGCTCCTGGGCGTGCAGGTGAAGGAGCTCGGCGCGCACGCCCGAAGGATGGAACGCGACAGGAACGAGCTGAATCGCCAGCTCGCCGACAAGGAGGACGTGATTTCCTGGACGCAGCTGAACCTGCAGCAGGTGGAGAAGAGCAACGCCGACTCGGAGGCCCGGCTGTTCCTCTCGCAGGCCCTGAGGGACAAGGTCCAAGCTGACTTTGAGAAGCAGGAGGGGATTTCCCTCCAGCTGAAGACCCTCCTCCACAGCAAGGACGCAGAGATCTCGTCCCTGCTGTCCTGCAGAGACGGACAGATGTCCGGATACCTGGAACAGCTGCAGGCTAACCACCGCGCCCAGCTAGCCGTGTACGAGGACCGGCTAGCCTCTTCGCGCTACCAGAGAGAGAAGGCCGACAAAGAGCTGAGAGGCCTTGAAGCGAAGGTGAAGAGCCTGCAAGGCAAAGTGAACACGTCCATCCAGGAGAAGGACCAGGCGGCTGCCAAGATGGAGTCCTTCAAGAACTCCATGGTGTCCCTGCAGAGCGAACGGGAGCGACTGACGTCCGAATACAGGATGCTCGAAGCTAAGAGCCAGTTGGGGTTAAAGGGCAAGGACGGCTCGGCCGACGGCGAAGGAGGCGCCGCCAAAGGCCTCAAGCACGAAATACGGAAGCTGCTGCATCAGATGGATGATCTCAACTCGGAGAACGCCATGCTCCGGGCTCAACTGGTCCGGTACCGAGAGGATCTGAACCAGGTCTTGTTCCTGAAGGACAACCAGCTGAAGGTGCTGCTGAAGAAGCAGACGGAGGTCATCAGAGACCTGGAAAACCAAAAAGCTGCAGCCGAGCAGCAGCACACGGAGTCTCGGGGAGAACTATTGAAGGAAGAAGAGGCGCATAATGTTTTAAGGGCGGAGGCGTCGGAACTCAAAGCTCAGGTTGTGCGTCTGGACGCCGACCTGTTGACCCTGAAACAGGAAAGAGGCGCGACCGAAGAAGGCAAAGTCATCGCTGACCTGCAGGAAGCCGTCACAGCCAAGGCGGCCGAGTGCAACGACCTCCGGCAGAAGCTCCTTTCTCAGAAAGTCCAAACTGAGGAGCTGAGGGACAAAATGCAGCGGCTGGAGAGCGAGACGGACAAAAGGCTGTCCGAGGCTGAGGACAAGTACAACCGCGAGCTGGACGCCTCGGAGCGCCAAGCGGAGCTCATGAGGACTGAGCGGGACACGGCGGACCTCAGGGCGGCCGAGCTCGCCAAAGAGCTGCAGGAGACGGAGCGGCGGTTGTGGGACGGCCGGGCTCAGCACGAGTCCATGAGCGGGGCCATGGCCGCCCTGCAGAGCGACCGGGACCAAGCTCATCCAGGACTTCAAGGTCCTGAGAGCGGCTACGACGAGGAGTTCCGGGAGGACCCGGGTGGCCGCGGGCAGGCGGAGCGCCGCCTTCGGGACGCTACCGCCGAACAGGCCGCGTTGGCCGCGAGAGGGACGTCCTGGCTCGGAAGGCGGCGGCCTTGGAGAGCGGAGGCGCCTCGTCGGAGCTGAGCGGGCTGCTGGACCAGCTCTCCGAGGAGCTGGTGGAGAAGGAGCGGGCCCTGAAGGGGGCGTCCATGGACAACGAGGCCTTCAGCAAGCAGCTGTCGGCCTTCTCCGGCTCCATGGCCAGCCTCCAAAGCGAGCGCGAGCGGCTGGTGGAGGAGCTGTCCGGGGCCAAACGGGCGGCCGGGTCCAGGCGCGAGGGGGACGGGCCGGTAAGTGAAGTCCTCCGGTTTGGCTGTTCGCCGTCACTTCCTCTCTGCAGCGTTTCGCTGGGCAGGAAGAAGCATGCCGGTTTGCTCCATTGCATCATCGCCTTGACTTGCATGGTGCCGTGTTTCTTTGTGGCGTCTGTGAGGTTCAGTTCGATGCCCGTTGGTTGGATCCTTGTGACTGACCCCTCGATGCTGTTGCAGGAACCCACGCAGAAGATGGACGAACTGCAGCAAAGTCCCAGAGTTCCACCCAACAGAGAGATGAGCGGCCACCAGCGGGGATCCACCGACGTGAGGTAGCACAGTTTGATGCCCCCCCCTCGGCGCCCGGGTCTCCATGTGTCCGTCCAAAGAGTTAAACGTTTAATCCGTGTTCTCATGATGCTAATCTATTGTTTCTCTCTTTAGATCTGAGACGCAGAGGACAGACGAGGTGAGTTTTAATCCCAACCATCACTCATGCGTCTATATAATGACATCTAGAAGTTGTCAGATCTACGCGTTTGTTCCCCCAGCAGGCCGCTCGCAGCGGAGCCGGCGAGGCGCTGAGGCTCCTGGAGGCCGAGAGGACTCGTCTCCACGGAGACCTGCAGCGCTGCCTGTACGAGATCCAGCAGCGAGACCAGTGCGTCCAGCAGCTCGACCTGAAGGTACGGAGCCGCCGAGCTCTCCCACGCCCCTCAAACGCATCGCAGCCAGGACTATTGCCTAGTTATGCAGAATCTACCCCCCCCTCCCCCCCCCTCCAGCTGCAGCAGGCGGCGCAGGAGAAAGGTGCTGCTGCAGCTCAGATGAGAGACTTCTCTGATAGCCTGAGGGACGCCCAGGACCGCTGCCGCTGGCTGGAGAACCCGGTCCAGTCTCAGGTGGGGGACCTGAAGGTGTACCTCTTTGCTGCTTGTAGACCCCCCCTCCCCCCAGAACAAACCTGTATAACCCCGTAACCGTCTCCACCAGCAGGTGGCGCTGTCTGCAGAGGTCGCTCCCGGAGCCCCGCACGAGAAGAGCGACCACTCCTCAAAGGCCGGTCAGCTCCGAGAGAGGTGAGGGGACCGAAGTGGGCGCCGCTCAAGTGTTTGATGTGCGCTGGCTTTATTGCACCGTTAAAAACACATTCTCCCCCCCTCTGTCTCCCCCCCCCCCCCGTCTCCCTGCCCCCCCCACGGTGTATCAGGCTGCTGGAGCAGAGTCTGACCGAGGAGAGAGCGAGGAGGGAGGCGGCTGAGGAGGCTCTGCGCCTGGCTGAGGGCGGAGCCAAGAGGTCACTGCTTCTCACACACACACACACACACACACACACACACACACACACACACACATTACTAGCAGTAAGCAATAAGCACCCTTGTAGTGGTTTCAGTCGCCTGTAGTTAACCTCTGACCCCACCGCTCTGCCTGCAGAGACTTCAGCATCGAGATGGAGGCGGAGGACGAGTGGGACGCCGGCAGCCTGGACCCCAGCCAGCCGCTCATCACGCGACAGGTCCGCGCTGACTCCTGCCGCTGGTTAGTGTCTGAGTGAACCCAGTCCTGAGTGGGTGTCCTGCGTGTCGTGTCTCCAGGTGAAAGGCGGCGCGGCGGCGCTCCGGCGCTGGATCCGGGGGCGGAGCCTCTACTTCTCGCGGCTGCTGACGAGCCGCGCCCGCTCTCGGTACTTCTTCCTGGGCTACCTGCTGGCGCTGCACCTGCTGGTGCTCTTGTGCCTCACTGGAGCCCTGTAGCCCCCACGTGGGTTGGGGGCACTGCAAGGCATGCTGGGACATCACAGGTGTCACACACACGGTTAATGTAGATGATGAGTCGAGGTGCAGATTATGCTTTGTCCCTTTTATTTTGTTTCTTTTCATCGGAGCGCAGAGCTTCTCGCAGAGGATGAAAAGTTGCCTGAGAAGCTGCAGGAAGCCAAATCCAGATGTTCTGATTGGTTCAAACTATGCATCTCCACATGTGTAAATAATCAGAAGCACTACTGTGTGTGTGTGTGTGTGTGTGTGTGTGTGTGTGTGTGTGTGTGTGTGTGTGTGTGTGTGTGTGTGTGTGTGTGTGTGTGTGTGTGTGTGTAAATATGCAAATCTGTATATTTCTGCTCAACTGTCACAAGAGGACGACGACGATCGATGAGCCAGAAAATAAACTTTGGGACGCCGCTCTCCGGCTCCCCGATGGATCCACTCTGTCTGAGTCTGCTGGAACGTGGTGGTGATGATGATGATGTACATAGAAGGCGTGATTGACTGACAAAACAATAAATCTATTTATGAGAAAACGGTTGACTTGACTGAGCAATGTTCACTCTCTATTTTTAAGACCTGCTGGACTCAAGTGTTTGAGTAATATATATATTTATATATAATATATAATGAGTCAGAGGTTTCAAAGCACCAACATCCACAGCTGATCTTTCATCATCAAGTTTACTTTATTTAAGACACAGTGTAATAAAACATATTAGCATTTTAAGAGGCTAAGAACCGCCTTGAGGCGATCAATATGTTGCCCGTCATATTGATCTCCCGTCCCCGCGTGCTGTTCTTCATCTTCATCACATTGTGGATTCTGCTGCAGTGAAGTGATGTAATGTGCGCATGCAGCCACTAGGTGGCGACGTCCGCCTGCTTCTCTCCAGACGCAGCGGCGCGATGATTCTGTGTCTGTGACCGTGAATGGGAGACTTCCTACTGTAGCTCCTGATCTATGGTTATTAAATGATCTCAGCTGGTCACCTTTATCTCCTCCCCTCTCTCCATCTCCCTCATATCCTCCTCCTCCTCGCTCTCCTTTATCACCCTCCCTCTGCTTCTCCTTCATGTCCTCCTTCCCTCTCTCCTATTCTGTCCTTTTCCTTCACTCTGTCCTTGCATCTCTCCTTCTCCTTCCATATATGTTTTGTCCTTCTCCTGCTCTCCCCAGTAGAGTCCTCTGGTTGCTGGTGACCCACTTGCAGGAAATGGAGGAGGAGAACAGGGGAGGTGTGGAGGAGGAGAACAGGGGAGGTGTGGATGAGGAGAACAGGGGAGGTGTGGAGGAGGAGAACAGGGGAGGTGTGGAGGAGGAGAACAGGGGAGGTGTGGAGGAGGAGAACAGGGGAGGTGTGGAGGAGGAGAACAGGGGAGGTGTGGAGGAGGAGAACAGGGGAGGTGTGGAGGAGGAGAACAGGGGAGGTGTGGAGGAGGAGAACAGGGGAGGTGAAGCATGTGGGAGTCTGCTGTGATTAATGTGCTGAGAGCGAGCAGCTGATCGGACCCGTTGGTCTCTGTGCACATCTGTCAAAGCGCCACGAAGCAGCTCGCTGTGTCCGACGGGTCCAACGATGTCTGTTCTCTATTGTTTAATATCTAATATTTTACATTTTGTCAGTCGGCAGAGAAGAGCGTGTGTGTGTGTGTGTGTGTGTGTGTGTGTGTGTGTGTTGTCTGGACACCGCTCTATTCTCTTTTTAGCCCCCACAGTTTTTTCCAGTGTCCTATTTAATGTCCCACTTAACAATCAGGTGTGTGTGTGTGTGTGTGTGTGTGTGTGTGTGTGTGTGTGTGTGTGTGTGTGTGTGACCTCACACCCTTCTAACTTTCGCTCTGCCTTTCGACACCTCTGGAATTGGGATTACTTTCAGATGTCCTGAGGGAGTCCTCGTCCTCGTCCTCCTCCTCCTTCTCCACTTCATCTTCTTCCTCCTCCTCTTCCTCCAGCTCATCTTCTTGCTCCTCGTCCTCTTCATCCTCCCTGTCTTCCCCTCTTCGTCTTCCTCCTCTTCCTAATTAGATGCTTCTTGTTACTCGTTACTCTCCAGGAGAAAAGTTCCACTTCATCACTTTCACTGGAGATCTCGTCCCAAAGCACACGCGTGACCCCCGTCCCACAACATGGTCTATCGGTTGCCATAGCAACACGGTCTTCCCTGGCTCCAGACCCCCCGACTCCGTCTGCCGCTCATGATGCTGCACGTCCAGATGACTTCTTCCTCTGTTGTCTCTGAGCAGAAGATGTTTATTCTCTGGAGATCACAGAGCTGAAAACGGGCTCAAGTTATTTTTGGGGGGAAAGTCGGTTGCTGTGGAAGTAAATCTGTGTCATCGGATTTTGAAAGAAAAGGTGATTCAATTTCTAGCACTGAATATTTATACATTGAAATCATGTATCTGAATGTTTTTCAATGTTAAAATATTCAACTGCAAAAAATTCAACGTTAAAATATTCAACTGCAAAAAATTCAACGTTAAAATATTCAACTACAAAAAATACAACGTTAAAATATTCAACTGCAAAAAATACAACGTTAAAATATTCAACTGCAAAAAATTCAACTACAAAAAATTCAACGTTAAAAAATCCAATTACAAAAAATTCGACTGCAAAATATTCAACTGCAAATAATTCAACTGCAAAACATTGAACCGCAAAAAGTTCGACAGAAAAAAATTCGACAGAAAAAAATTCAACCACAACATCCGGGAACCCGAGGAAGAGCAATTGATTGTTGGTGTTTTTTTTATGATACTATATAATATATGAGATCGTACTGAGAGCTTGAAAAAACACCAACAACCGAACGTCATCTCGTTTATCTTCCGCTTAGTTCACGTCCAATGTGCAAATGTCAGCTGTCTATTACTGCATCTTACAGACACAAACCACACTGATGCATGAAGTTAAAGTTAAAACACTCAACGAAGCCCCGTTATTAATGGACATGGCTGAAATCCGGTCATCATAGCCGACAAGCCCAAGCTGTATTGGGGCGCTCGCTCCTTGAATCTAGAATCGATTGCTCTTCCTTGGGTTCCCGGATGTTGCGGTTGAATTTTTTGGGGTTAAATTTTTTGCAGTTGA